TGCTTCTCTTCCCCCTGCTGCTCTTGGGGTGTTCCTGCGGGGTGCTGGGGGCGGAAAACTGCCGCCGAGCGGGACCGTCGGGTGGGAAAGGGTAAAAGGCGTTTGTGAAAAATGCCTCTGGGCAATCCCAGCTTCCCCAAACTTTTTTTTTTTTTTTTTTTTTTTTTGGCAACCGTAGTCGTAGCACAGAAGACGCGCGCCTCCTCGGCCTCGGCTGTACGAGGCTTAGATGTTACAACCAGGGCTTGCCTCTGAGAGCGCCAAGGCTCTCCGCTTCTCCTCCGAGCTGCTCGGCGTTCCAAGGCGGAGTAGCCCTTGACCGGGGAAATGAGAAGCATTTCCTACAAGCCAAGTAGCAGCTGGAGCCATTTCTTACTGACAATTTGTCAAGAGTGTATTGAGCTTATACTTTCCATTTCTTGAAATAGCCCACGCGCTGTGCACGTTGAGATCTCATCCAATATTTAAAGAGGTTATGCTGGAAACCGGTATACTTGCTCATTGCTTTGCTATGGAATGCAGGGGGAATAGACGAATAGAGAGGTTGTTTCTGTTCCTGATTGCCTTCTAGCAAAAAAATCCCCGTGTATGTTTCACAGGCACATTATATATAAACATATATATATATTCACAACAATCAAGGTATATGTTTGCATGTACCTCCACTACTGTGGATCACAGATGTTGAGGAAAGATACAGAGTATTTCCCTTTCAGGGCAACATTGCAAGAAAGCAGTTTCAGTAAAGGAGGAGGGGTGTGTGATGCCTGCTTTCTGACCCCCTGGCTGAAGAAATACTCAAAAAACCCCAGAACACCTTCTCTTTGAACTGAGATTATAAATCTCCTTCTCCGGTGTCAGTGCCAAGTTATTTCTGTGGCTTTCCCTTCCACAGAATTTCCTGTCACAGATTTATGGAGCCTGCTGGCTTGAGTGCCAGTGTGTATCTGTAGGAGTAACAAAGCTGACAATACACTGGAGCAAATAATGATACACATATGCAAAGTCTTCCACGTTTAGATGGTTTTAAAAAGAAAAGGAAGACATGGAATTGCCATCAACATGGAGCAACAATTACCAGACTTTTTTTTTTATTATTTTATAAATGGAGAAGTACTAAATTCAAAGGATGTAGCTTTTATTAGTAGTATATATACTGTGTATGTACTGTAGCTCTATGTGACAACACTTTATTTAGACTAGACGACTGTAAACTTTGGCGAATGAGGAGAATACAGAGGAATCTCAAGACTTACTATGCACAGCCCTACTATGTCATTTTATTTATAGTTAGAGGAAATGTGACAGTAACCCTTCCATTTCAGGACCCCAGGGATAGGTCCTATTGTAAATGTAAAATAGCACTGCAGCTTTCCATTTTCATTGTCTCACAGTGATTCTGTTGCCATGTAAGCCAAGGCCACAAATTAAAAATGCATTTCCTAGTTCTCAGAACGAACATGCTCATTCTGTTGTTCTGTTATTCTCAAGCTCTGATCCTTTAGGTATGTGCAACAGAAGAGCAACAGACCTTGCACTTGGAATTCAGCAAATTGTTTTGGCAATTGTCAGATTCAAAATTAAATCAAAGTGGCTGCAACAGTGCTATCAGTGTTTCTGTATGAAAAAATGCCACAGTTAAATGTACCCTGTTTTGCAAGTTAATGTTCCTGTTTGTTAAAAGGTTATGCCTAAGGCTGTACGTCATCAGGATAATCTTTTAGTAGCTATTGAGATAGGTTATTTGAAATTGAAAAATTCCATCGAAAACAGGCAAATCTAACACTGTGCTACCCTTAGGGCATGTTTTCTTTAAAAAACCCCCCCCCCCCAAAAAAAAAAAAACCCAAACAAAAACCTGTTAGTATTTCATTATGGTGATTCCTGCCCTACACAATTTGTGACATCCTGTGTTTAAGTAACAGCCATTGTGTTGTTATTCCTAATGCTTTCAAAAAAAGTCGTGTGTCTAGTTTAACATAAAGTAAGATAAACAAAAAGTAGTTAGTTTACATTTTTTCTAAGAGTCATTGCTATTACATAATTACTTAATTCAAATGCTACTTTATATGGCAGCGAAGCAAACTGGCAGTGTGACTATTTCAAGTATCTTTTAATGATGGTTGAACAGATTTCTGATGTATGAGCAACTCAAAGCAGATAAAGTCCGTAATACGAGCACACATAATGTAAATCAGAGGGGTCCTGAAAATCTGCTGTAGCAAAGTGTTTTTTCTTATAAGAACACAGGAAAGTTTGTACACATAATACATGTGAACTGTCTCTAGCCTTTTTTACAGGGCTTCCCTGTGATCTATAAATGCAAACAGATTTCAGAAATGTTAATATAATCAAGCTGGGATTGTGGGCTAAGCCACTGTTATTCATAGCCAATGCATGCTTTTAGTTTTATTTTTCTCAAAATGGATTGTTTTGGTTTTTTCCCCCTGGCATTTCAGGTACTACAAAGAAGCAATATATATATATATATATATGTATTTATTTTTTTTTACTTGCTCAGAAATAAATGATATAGATCTTAAAATATTAGTTTCACAGCTCTGAAGACTTTTTCAGGAAAAGGGACGTGAAGGAAGCACGAAGTTGCTTATGGGCAGCAGACACAAGCTTCTGTCCATTTGCTGTTCTTGCCAAGTCAGTTGATTGGCTTGCTAGACCCTTGATAATATTTCTTTTTACTTTTCATTTACATAAAGGGATGTCTGTTTATTGCACAGTTAGTTAATACTTTACAGTGAAAAATCTACTTAGTAAGCATTTTTATCTCTAGAATGTAGATTGTGGTATTTTGAAAATCTTCTGTATATTTTTTCCTGTATATCATTTGTACCTCTTCTGAACATTCAATTTTGTGCTGATAAATTATTACAGACTGTTTACTATGTATATTTTCAAAGATCCTTTTTTTTTTTTTTTATATATTCAGAAACATCACTTGGGGACTTCCTTGTCCCACTTCCATGTGCCTGTTCAAATCTGTATTCACTTTCATATGATTTGGTTCTTAAGTTTATATTGTACATTTCCTCCAGACCAGCACTTAGATTTAGCCAAACTAATCTATGTGTGCCAAACACTCTGGCCTGCCCCTGCCTGTGCTGCAGAACCTCTGCTATGGTGAATCATAGAATCGTCCAGATTGGAAGGGACCTTTAAGATCATCGAATCCACCTATTAACCTAACACTGCCAAATGTAACTAGCTAGAAGATTGTCTTTTCTCCCTGGTAGTCTAAGAGGAATGCCTGAAGAATTTAGTTTCTAGTGGGACAAGGAGCCAAGTCTGCGCTGTTCATTATGCTGGAGTAGCAGGCGGGATTCTGCAGTGGAGATGCTGTGGACGTCAACAAAGACTGTTTTTGTTGGAGCGGTTATCACACCTCTCCCAGTGACGTAAGCTAAGCCAAGAAAAGCATTTTTTTGTTGGCTTAGCTGTCTCCAAAGCAAGAGTCTTTCCAGTGCAGCAATGACAGGCAGTAACCCATTTACTCCCACAGGATTGTGAGCAGCTGTACTTTTACATTATGAAGCCCTCTGCAAAAGAGTTGAAGCTGTTAAAAGCTTTGAGCATAAATTAATTTTTTTGGAATCAGCTCAAAACAGTTTTTATTGAACATGCTAAACTCAAGCCAACAGGCTAATTATATTTATATAGACATATATTATTTGCTATTCCCTAATTGTATGTACTTTTATATATATACAGCTAACTGACAATACCATAGCTCACTTATTAAAATGAAATTTATATCTTAAACTGTTCTTTGAGAGCATTTTGAGCTAAGAAGGCTGAGACTTCCAGCAATTTTGTCTCTAGAAGCTCATGATTTCAAATAAGCTTCTGTAGGTTTGACTGCTAAAATACTCTTGAAAATAAGCGTGCATAGATCATAAATGAAGTTGAATTTAAATTCTGATAACTTTTGATTCAAAAGATTATTTTTTTTTAATTTAATCACCAATATTGTTCATTTGTTTTGTTTCAACAGGAAACATTGGATGCTCTGGTAAAGTCTGAACATATGACAGATGAGATCAAAACTCAGTTAAATGATCTGTGTAGATTTTCCAGAGATTTGAGTACTCATTCTTCAAAAGTTTCAGGGTTGATTAAGGAGTATAACAGGTACACGTTCATCTTGTTTATAGTTAATCAGTCCCAGGGGCAAGGGGTGGGGGGATGTGGGCTGTCTTTTAGGGAACCATTCATTAGATTTTTTGAATTAGAAACAGAGGTAACAATGATTAGAATCATGATTAGAATTTTGATTTTGGTGTGAATAGAGATTTTTAAATGTAGCAATTTGGAGTTTTTTTCTAAAAGCCAGGCTACGTCTCTAAACTCAGCTGAAACTAATGTATATCCACACCTGACCTGTTACAGGAGGAACCCTTGTAAGAAACTGTGAGGTAGCACTATGGCTTCTTTGTCTGAAGGAGGAACAAGCTATACCAGCTAGTTAAGATCTTTCTCTTAATTTTGTCCTTCAGTTTACTCTTCTCTGACTAGCTGGATCCCCGAAACAGGGCAGCTGGCATTTGCTTGCTTTCTTGCTTTCTCTCAGGTCAGTCCAGCTGATTTACTTGGGAGTATGACGCCTGCGTTTCAGACACAAGATACTGTTGTCCCTTGCAGGGGGCTATAGCTTTTGGCTTCTGTAGCTGCAGAAGAAGGGTGTGATGACCCAGATGGATCCCTTCTAATGCTACAAACTTAACTGAGCCACAGAAGTTAGACTTGTAATCACTGTAGTTCTGTGTCCTGTCCCTGGAGAGAGAAAGGGGCTTCATGCTTAGGTGCACTGAGTCACTCTCTGGAAATGCTCATACCTGTCATATCTGTGACAGTTGTGTCCCAGTTCACATGCTTCACTTTTAAGGAACTGAAAGCTTCTAATGGATTTCCTGGTGCCTCAGTTAGGTGCTTAAATTTGGTAGGAGGCGTCCAGGTTAACCTAACCTTACCGCTGTATTTCAGAGAACTAAGTAATAGCATTGTCACCTAACAGAGTCCTTCCTTCCCTCTCTCCCTCCCTCCCTCCCTCTGTTCTGCTTCCCTGATGTGACAAAACCCAGCCTCTGCCTGCAAGCTTCAAAAGGATGTCAAAGCAAAGAGCAGATCTTGCAGCAAAGATTTCGGACGGCTTACAGGGACTTCCAGCAGTGGCTGGTCAATGCAAAAGTCACCACAGCCAAATGCTTTGACGTGCCTCAAAATATCGGCGAAGCTTCAGCAAGTCTGCAGAAAATACAGGTAACTATAGCAGTAAAATATTAGTCTAAGGGAGAACCAATCAGTTGCATATAAAGCTCAGATTGAATTGTTTGGTTAATTACTATTTTTTGTTGATGTTGTTAATGTCAACACTAAAGGTGACTAATTGCAAGGAAATAAACACTTATTTTTTTCTTTTTCAATCTATTTTGTTTAGTTTTATTGTTGGGCTACAGTTTGTATGTAGTCATTGTCTCTCATAGCAGTTTTCCTTGTTTGTTTCTTTTTTTACAATAGGAAAAAAATATGTTTTTAAAGTAGGAGAGTACTGTAAAATCAGAACAATATCAGAATCGGGACTTAGTACCTTGAATTATTTCAAAGTTATGTAAATATTTTTCTTCTTATATGAAACTAGAGCCCTTGTAGTGCAAGAGCAGAGTTAAAAAGTATGCAGTGCAAGCAGGCATTTAAAAAGTGTCTTTTTCACATAAACCTAAAACGAGCCCCAACAACTCTGTGGAAAGGAATGCCAATTAAGTGCCAATAAAGCAAGTGAAAGAAATACTTTTGTCAATAGAACACAACTATAATTTTAACTAATAATAGCAGAATGAGAATTACATAATGAGACTGCTAAACCTTCATTTAGATAGTGTAACAAAAGAAATTCATATCAGTTTCTCAGAAAATACCAAAACCCAAATCACTTCCTTCTCCTTTTGGTAAATTCACTTTCCCTTGCTTAAATGGTTTACTTGAAAGCGTAAACGACACGGTATTAATATATCAAATTTTTGACTACCCCAAAATGAGAATGTTTAGAGGAAATAGCTGGGGAAAAAATCCTAGTAGTTTTTTTACATTAAATAGACGAGTTTAACAAGGTTTGTTTTTTTTCAACAGTGGTAAGATATTTTTTTTCTTTATCACTGCAGCCCCTTCAGAGCATAAGACCTTACTTTGTTCTCCTCTTCCCTGAAAGCTGCTTTAGAGGAAATAAACTTTTTTGTCATTCAGTAAATGCTTTAGGACTTCTGGAGATGTCTTGATAACCTGTATAAACTTAAACTTTATTTTTTTTTTTAATTTAGTGTTTTATCTCTTGGCACATTTGACATCATTAAGTCACAAGGCAATCATATCTTTGATTTTAATATAGCCAGAACTTGAACCAGGTATCTGAAAGCTAACAGATCCTTTGCATTCTCTACTAAGACCTCTACTGTAACACAGAATCAGAACCTGACTTAGTAATTTTTGTATCAAGTCTGTTACTTCTGAACGTGGATGTAACCTTATGATTATGGATATAAAACTGTTTGTATATCACATAATCATGATAGTAATACTTTAAAATGTCGGTGTTTGAGACTGCTAAATTCCTTTGAGTCCTAAATGCTCACAAAGTCTTCTAATAATTACAAGTTATAAGAACATTATCCCAGTACATTAGAATTTTAAAATCTGGCTGTTTCCTTACGTTTCTGTATAATTCTTGGACATGCATTTTTCCATACGCTTCTTGCACACTGGCATTGTGCAAGATTTCCATGAAGAAAAATATTTTCAAAGAGGGAAGGTAAATTAAGGATGCAGAGGAATAAATCCCCCAGCTTAGACATTGCTCAGGGTCTAAGCATCAGCCCACACCCCTACACACTTGCTGGAAGTACAGTGTGGCTGTCGCCCGTGAGAAGACTTCAGTCCTGTGCGTGCCTCAGAGTGGGCCCTGGCTCCTGCTGTTACCTCTGCCAGGATACTGGTTCCCTGAAATGAAACTAGAGATTTAAAGAAGTATAATACCCAGCTAAATGACCAGTAATTGTCTCATGAAATGCAGAATATACAGGTAATCCTAGAGTCTAAATATATACGTTATTTAGACGTATGGCACTTCTGGCTTAAGTAGCTGTTGTCCCTAAATCCCATAAATATGAATAATATTAAAATGGAATGTACCAAAAGATGAGTTAGCATGTTAATGAGCAGAAGCAATAAACTCTTGTCCCTGTTAAATTTTCTGGGAGCTTGACATTGACCTTTACTGCAACCCAAAGTTCACCAGTTAGCTTCTTTTTTTGTTATTTTTAGGAATTCTTATCAGAAAGTGAGAATGGCCAACAAAAACTAAACCTGGTAGCATCCAAAGGGGAACTGCTGTGCTCTGTTTTACCAAAGGAAAAGGCTAAAGTTATCCAGGACAAATCTGCTACAGCTAAAGAAGATTGGAAAAATTTTATCACCACCCTCCACCGGAAGGAATCTGCATTGGAGGTATTGAACCCGTCACAGTGGTGAAAGATGGGATCTAAATTTCCTCTTTGCTTTTTGTTTCAAACAGCACAGTTTAGGTTTCGTATTTAGCTGTATGTGACAGAGCTAATAAATAACAGTTTTCAAGAAGTCTTCTGCTTACGTTTTACTTTTGTTTACTTATATCCTTATGATCTGATTCCACTTTGATTTAACTGGGGTGTTTCATGCAGAAGAGTGTTGTTCAGAGTAAGTGAAGGCAACAAAGACAGGAGTTGCTCAAATTCATTAATATAAGTCTCATCAAATGTTCTGGATTACTAAAAGACAGTTTATTTTTTAAGGACTGTTTTAGCACAGATTTCTGACACTCTTGCTGATCGAACAGTCCCAGTACAGTGGGTAAATGTTCTCTCTCTTACTGCAAACTGATGAAATGTCATGATTTATTTGAGCAACTTTTTAAATAAATCCCACTGCCTTTCTCTGTTCAGTACTCGCAATTCAACCAGCACAGAAGATGAATATCTTAAAAACATAATCTCTTTTAAGGTCATAGGTTTTAAGGTCAAAAGGTCTTAGCTGGAATTCCCTGCTTAGCCTAGGAGAATTTAAATTCCTAGGCATTCGTGTTTCAAACCAACGCTGCCTAGCCAGCTGAGAAAAAGTTTAAATACATTTAATATATTTTGTAGGAAAGCTTTAAAAAAATTTTCCGGTACCTTTCTTCATGTCAGGGTTGCCATGGAAAGAAGACGTCCTTAGAAGTTAAACTTCTCGAGCCAAGCATTTTTCAGTTTCATAGGCTTAGTTTTTCATTCTGATATTTAATTTAAGTGATAAAGTTACAGCTAAAAACAAAACTAAATCAGACTGTGGGGAAAAAAAATAAAAATAACTAGGGCACAGGAGCTATGCTGTTCAGGTTTCTATTCCATATGGATTATTTCAGATGCTCTTTTTTTTTTTCTGTAATAAGGCAGAAAAAGCCTACAATAAAAATATGCAGGCACTGAAGGAATGCCTACATATGCCTTAATGCAGACATTTTTATAACGAAAATTTTACACTAAAAAATAATATAACCAGAAATGATCACCAGGATTGGGTTGAACTTAGTCCAGGATTGGGTTGAAGTTAGTCATACATCACCTAGGAATAGTGGCAGCCCATTTAAGGAGGGGTTAGTGTGAATGACTGCAGTCAGATGTTAGGTAACTCGTATCCCAAATTAGCCTTTCTTCAGAGTGCCTTAGCTGTGAGAGTTAGACTTATGTTGAGCCAAAGCTCATAAGATCTATAAAACTTTCAGTTGAGAGGAAATTTGCTTCAGCCTCCCCTCAACTGTGTAGACATATCCTACATTGTTGCCTCTATTTTGCCTCTTAAAGAGGTGCGCTCTCAGACTTTTCTTTCAGTGTCTGCTTGTGAGATGGGAAGGAGCAGAGGTGGCATAATTTATTCTGAAGAGTTGTGTAGTGTTTGGCTGCAATTGTATGTCCTTTCTGTGTGTTGCGCATTACAGTTATGCCCAGTGCAATGGGACTGTCGATAAAATTGTGCGTGTCTTCCCAGAACTTAAAGATCCAGATGAAGGACTTCGAAGCAACTGCTGAGCCTCTGCAGGAGTGGCTGACCACAACTGAGAGCATAGTGCAAGGAAGTAGCAGTCGGCTCCATGATCTTCCTTCCAAGAGGAGAGAACAGCAAAAGTTGCAGGTGACTTCTTATAAGCCTTTTTAACGCAGCCAGACTTTCCTGTCCCATCCTCCTGGCCTCATCGATTTCTTACAAAAGCTTGATCATTCTAGCATCCTGACCTCTAAATAAGATGAGAACTGGTTTCAAGGATTGCTGTTGATGATCCTGTTCCATCAGGTTCTGCATCTCCACATTTCTTATGACATCCTGCTTCGCTGCTGTAGCTATATGGTGTGCCTTTCACAGCAAGCTTGCCATATGTCACTTCCACTTTTCATGGGGCCTTCATGCTTCTCTCTTTCCTCCTTTCTTGCACCCACTCTTACTATTAACGTGCTTGTGCTTTACAGTCTGTCCTTGAGGAAATAAGCTGCCACGAGCATCAGCTCAACAGGCTAAAAGAGAAAGCTCAGCAGCTGTGGGAAGAGCAAGCTGTCAGCAAAAGCTTTATGCGCAGAGTGTCTCAGTTGTCTTCTCAATATCTGACTCTAAGCAATCTGACAAAGGTAATGCACTCAGTGTATGTGCTTTTAAGCACTTCTTTTGATGTATGTGGGGAAAAAGAGACTGAAATGTGAAGCACTGCAGTTGTCTTGCTTGTCTGCTCTGTGGTATGCCTCAGCTATCTTGTCTTTCACACTAGCTTTAGAGAATCAAAGTAAGGACCTGGGTAATTCCATGGACTGTCAACAAAATGGAATTGTGATTTTTTTTTTTTTTTAATGTGTTTTGATTAAAAAGTAAGTCCCACCTGATTATACAATAATCAGGTTTGATTTTGATTATTTCAAGTTTTGAAAACATTTATTTTTGTAATAAGTGGCACCTCAAGGCAGTATTTTTTCAAAACTTAGGGGAGTTATTTTTGTTAGAAAATACAGAATACAGAAAAGTTATTACTTCATTGCATCCTACAATGATGATTAATTATTTGCAGTGTCAGCGTCTTTATCTAAAACAAATAGATTGGCCTTCTAAAAGAAGTACCTCTTAGGCTGCTTTTGAAGGTTGAAGGGAAGGCATAGGCTAAGCTCTAAAGCGTCATGCTAAGAACTGAGAGTTTAACCTAACTGTTTTGCTGAGTGGTGCTTGACTCACTTCACCATTTAATAGTTCTACTATCTCTATTGTGTAAACAGATAAGAAGGTATTCATATTAGGACTGCTATTTTTCACAAAGTTCCAGTCACGAAGAAGGCTTGATATTGAATTAGGCTTATAGTTACTACAGTAAAGACAATAATTAAGGATTTAGGAAGTGTGTTTTCGGATAACGATTCAGAAAGTATTTATATTGGGGCATTTGCTAGTTTGTTAATTTCTACATTTTATGTGGAAATAAAAATTATAAAGCATATCTAGAGCTGTGTGGCGTACTGAAAATGATCGTATACATGGCCATGATAAATTTTCATGACTGCAAAATGAGAAAGGGAGAGATGCACGAGTTACTAACATCAGCTTACATGGACAGAACTTGTAGGAGGCGTCAGGATGAAAAGAAGGAATTTGAGGCAGAGGATACGTATGATCCAGCCTATGAAAGAAATCCTGAAATTCTTTGGATAGTCGTGGACGCTTGAAGAAGATCCCTGTCTGTAACTTCCTAAACCTGTTTCCCTGGCTTGACTTTAGTTCTCTGTCACCGTGTGAAATACTCTCTGCTCTGTGTTCCTGTTCACCTCAGGCCTTCTAGCAATGTAACTTGAGCACGAGTGTCAGTAATTTTTCAGAAGAGTGGTTATACAAACAGGAGTAATTGAGGAAAACAGGGCTTTCTTTTCCAAGTATTAACAAAGTAATGTTGTTGCAGTGGCATAGCTTCACAGGCTTAAATCTGTCTTGTGCATTGACAGATTTCACAAGTTTTCTTCAGCTGCAACACTGAAATGGAGTTTAGGTGTGATTTACCAGATGTTTAAAAAGAAGTGAAACCAGAAAACTCTCATCTACTTTGGATAAGAGGAGACAATTAGATGAAGCTTTACATTTATAAAACAAAAAAGGGTATTTCTGAAATTTGAAGTTGTATATTATGTTTGGACAACTTGTGTGTGTGAGGGGGGGTGGTGTGTGTATGCAAAATTCATCCCGTGCTCTAGTAAGCATACTTGTAATTATCAATGTACAAAGAGAATTTCTGAGTACAGTTTATGAAACTCCGTAAGTAGGTATGGGGAATAAGCAATCCTTTGAATAGCTGCTGGTACTAATTGCTTTATGAATTGCAGGAGAAAGTTTCCAGAATGGATAGGGTCGTAGCAGAGCACCAGCAGTTCTCGCACAGTGTCAAGGACCTCCAGGACTGGGTGGCTGATGCAGTTCACATGCTGGATTCCTACTGTCATCCCACTGCAGACAAGAGTGTTCTGGACAGCCGGATGTTAAAGCTAGAGGTATGGAAACAATAGACTCCAAAACCTGCTCTTTTTAGGTCTGTAAGAAGATTGCAAATCTATGATACTTTACATTAATTGATGTGTATTAGTGTAACAACTGTTGTTCAGACACTGATTTTCAATTTACTCAAAAATAACTCTTTTTATAGATGAAAGAGCTCATTATTAGAAGTTTTCCCTAGGAAGGATATAGGGACCTTTATGATACGAAAAACTGCATATATGCTAATTCTTAAAAAAACTCAAAAGATGATGTGTGACTGCTGAAGGTTAAATGGAAGAGGTAGGATATTCACTTCTGTTAGTTTAATATATCATTTCCTAGATCTTACAGGTGATATGGAGGATTCAGAACAGCTTTTCCTGTAACTGTTTGCTTTAAAAATGGTGACTGCAGTTAAGAAAATAGTGTCTATTAATATCATTGCACAACAGATGTCGAACAGCAGTGCTCAGAAAACAATACTTTTCATATTATTGATGTCTCAAATTTTGAGCTGTGGCCAAAATATGGACAAGTCCTCAAAATTATAAGGATACATCAAATACCAAGAGATGATAGCAAAATACTAGAATTGTATTTAGCCTTTGTTCATTGAGTCTTTCAGGTTCAAGCTTTCAGGCTTTTCATGACTTTGCATAATGTCAGAAGCTGTTAGTTTATAACAGCACAGCTCCAGGAGCTGAAGTCTCTAAGCTGACGTTGCTGATAGTCTACTGAGTTTATGCATTGGTACCTTTCTGTTGCAAAGAGATCCTAGAGTTGTAGAACTGTATTTCAGCCCTGTAGAAGAGCTCTGTTATCACATCTTGTTTTCTCTATGAATGAATCCTCCAGTTTTCCATTTAAATGACTTTCCGTTTAGAAAGCCAGCTTTTCCACCCAACGGTACCTTCTCTGATACACTGTAAATACCTGTACAGATTCCATGAAAACTTCCCTGTCAACTAATATTTTTTGGATGACCTAAACCTACCCTTTGAAAGTCACCTTTTCCTTGTGAAGCTGAGCTGTGAACCCTGCTGTCCCTCTTCCAACTGACTGTTTGTACAATCTGCTAAATTTGATCAGCTCATTTTCCAGTAAAGCCAGTTAGTATATTCATGCCCAGTTGATGATAGAAGTAGAATAATATCCACTCACTTTTTAGGGACTACTAGCAGTGAAACAAGAAAAAGAAATCCAAATGAAAATGGTTCTGACAAGAGGAGAATCTGTTCTGCAAAATACTTCTCTGGAGGGACTACCAGTGATTGAACGGCAGTTGCAAACCCTGAAGGACAGCTGGGCTTCTCTTCTGTCTGCTTGTATCCAGTGCAAGAGGTAAAAAGGGTATGAGGTGCAGAATAACGCTTAGCAATAAAGCACTGTCAGCATTTTTGAAAAGTTAATTCCCAGAGTTTTATTATTGCAAGAGTCAAATTCATATAAAATGACTGCACGTGCCTAACGGGCACTTGCGGGTCTAGAGGCCTTAAGTGACACAATCATTTGCAGTAGAAAAAGGGGAGGAAACCATGAGGGATCTAAGCTTTGTTAACACTTATTGTCAATATACTCTTAAAAGTGGATTCCATGTTCATAATCTTGTTGTAAATTTTACTTTGAGTTACACTTGATGCCTTGAATTGTTCTCAGAAATGAGAAGATCTTGTCACAGACATTAATGGTTGCTCTGTTGAGATCCTGTCTCATTTTTCATTTGCTAGCATTTCACGAAAGGTACTCTAATTACGATGTCCAATAGTGGTTCTCAAAGTGATAGAGTAAAGAAATACAAGGGGAAAAAATCTAGTTGTCTTTGGTGGAACATCACTAGTTGCAAATATTTCAACTTAAAACAGCAATGGTAATTAAACATTAGAATGCTGCAACTTTTGAATGTATGCAAAGGGACAGAAAATTTCTGATTCTGGATCTTATGCTTTTAGTTGCATTTTATTTACTAAAGCTAGAACATGTCAGCTAACTACATAACTTACAGAGCTCCTTACTATTCCAAGTTTGGAAAACTTAATTTCTCTTTATCAGCCAAACAGTGCTCCCACCTAAAACTTGTAGAGTTTTAACAACTCTGTCTCAGACTGCTTAGCTTGTGATATATCTTTCTTATAATATATAGTCTAGAATAACTGTATATGACTATATCTCACTGCTTAAATAACATGACAACCTCCACTATCACAAGAAACATGTATTTTTAAATTGCAGTCAACTGGAAGGAGCTCTCTCCAAATGGACAAGTTACCAGGATGATGTTCGTCAGTTTTCCAGCTGGATGGATAAAGTAGAAGCAAGTATGAATGCTTCTGAAAGGCAGTATGCTGAACTGAGGGAAAAAACAGCTGCCCTCAGCAAAGCAAAGGTGTGTTTGCTTTACAACAAACCAGCAACAAAACCATATCACCTTATAAGCAACAAAAATGGCTGAGTAACTGCAAGATTAATCTGTGGTCTTCTTTTAATGCTGCCCATTCATAAATGTGTTCTTCTCATTCTGTTTTGTAGCTACTCAGTGAAGAGGTGTTGAGTCACAGCAGCCTGTTGGAGACGATTGAAGTGAAAGGAAGTGGGATGGCTGAGCATTATGTCACTCAGCTTGAACTTCAGGACCTTCAGGAGCGGTATAAGTTCCTCAAAGACAGAACGAGGGTACAGTTTTTCTTAATACCACTCCCTCTTGTTTTGTTGGCAACAAGGAGAAAGAGAAAGTCTTTTCACTTATCATTTATTTTTCAACTAAATGAAGAGTGAAACTTTAGGGACAGCTGTACCCTAATGTAACAGAAAGTTATTAGGGTAATTTATCAAGCAAGACAGCTTGCTGTACCACTGAGATGCAGGTCTTTTCAGAAAGGTTCTAAAAATCTGAGTCTGAAAAAATCATCAGTTAAACAGTCTGAGCAACTCCATGTCAAAAGTCTCATTGACTTCAGCACAGATATGATTTTACCCATTGTGACTGAAAAGTTGGGAGCATCTCAGAATCTGTGATTTGCGTAAATGTATGGTTTGCAGTAAATGCAACCAGTCAGTCAAGTAATTCACAAATGGTTGACAACTATAGAAGCTTACTATAGAACACAAACCTTATTAGCAAGTAAACTGACTCTAAGGTCAAAAGACCCAGCATGATAAGTACTACATTTACTGATAATTGTTAACATCTTAGATCTGGAAAAGATTAGGGCATAGGCAGATAAAGACCAAGATGGGTTTTAATATAAGATATAAGATAAAAAAGAAATAATAGAAGACCTGGTCATACATTTAAAGCTAGGTGATTATCTCTGGTTAACCCAAATTCCTCTGTGATAATTAAATAATGCATAATGTATGCTCAGGAAGGCAACTTTTCTTCATGCAGCAGTGTAGCAAAATTGAATTTTGTTGTCTCAACGGTGTCTTTGTCCTGTGGAAAGGGCCAAAATTCAGTTTTTCAAATGCAGAAGGGATTCGCTGTTTTGTGGTACTCTTTTCCACAACTGCAAAGACTGCAATGCAGTCTTTTTTTGGGCCTTCTGTGAATGAACTCACTTAGGTTTGCCAGAGAAGTAAGTCAGTCCTGGGAAGTGCTAGTGAATATCTTGTATTCCTTTTAGCATGGGGTTCCTTTAACCTTTACCTTTTTCTCTTGCACAAAGCTATACAGACTCCCTGTATTTGCTCAACTTGAGCAACAGCATGAGAACAATGAGAAATGGATAGTAGTTCACAGGGGCAAGAGCTCTGTACCTCTTTCCTCATGTAGCAAGAAGCATCTCTTCTTTCTCTTCCCACCTAATACCCGAGATGACTTTGTTCTTCTCCGCTCCCAACTGTGGTGATGATGTTAAGTGTCAAAAGTACATTCAACAGTTCTTTAGAAAGAAATTCAAACTTCAAAGCAAATACCTGGAAAGTAAAGAATGGTCAAATCCTTTAATAATCCTTTGGCCAGGTGGGAAACCTGACAAGCTTCCCCAAGGGTTTGTGGCCCAAGCCTTAGCAGACCAAGACCTGTAATTCTCTGCAGCCACTGTGAAGAGGCAAGAGAACAAGTCTCTTTCCATCTTCCCCCTATTGGGCGTGTACAGGCCTTGTAAAAGATTGGTAACACTCCTCTTTTCTTCCTTTGTCCCATTACTCGGACCTGTTAGAAATAGGTAACGCAGGCAAAAGGTTCATGGATGCTGTTTATGAAAGTCTTTTTCTTCTTTTGTACCCTGCTGCCCTGGGATGCAGCCTGTCTTGCTCCAAACTCAATTCACCGTTCCCATAATTTCTTAGAAAGACTGGTCTAGTGCTAATATATGACACCTTTCCTGCTGTACACCAGGTATGGTAATATTTTAGTGCAGGGTTGCGAAATTATCGTAACTTGCTGACCCACATACACAGAAGACTTGCAGTCTGTTTCTCACTGTGCTCTGTAGGAACTCCCCACAAAGGACTTGGGCGGTCTTCAAACCTAAAGATATTAGATACTCTTAGTAGAAGATTATTATTCCATTGGCAAAAAAAATATGCAATTTCTAAGCTTATGCTCTTATTAATCACTTCAGTAAAGTGAATTTAAATTGGAATAAAAATTAAGAAGGTCTTTTGTTATTAGACACTATGGTGTTATTTATAAGCGATCCAAAATCAAAACTTTAAATCTTTTAGGATAAGTATATGTATCCCCACATTTGCCCCCTCTTTATTCATCAAACCATCCTTAGAATCCAAGTATTCTTGAATTCTAGGAGAACTCAGCATCAGATACAAACTTTTCACCTTGATAGAAGTCCGGGTTTTATGTTTTCTTGGTTTGGTGATACACTAAGATATATATACATGTATGCAAATATTTTAACAAGCAGGAGGCAGTAACAAAAGCTGAAGGACTGCTTAACTTACATCAAGAGTACCAAAGAAATCTGAAGACCTTTGAAGTATGGCTGGAGAAGGAACAGGAAAAACTTGACTGTTTATCACATCTCAATGGTGATGCCCAGAAACAGGAGGCAACACTCCGAGACTTACAGGTACATAACGCGTGACACTAAATAAATAAATAATCCTACTTGTAAAATAACGGAATAAAAATTGCATTCTTTTTTTTTTTATTTCTCAAGAACAACTTGGAATTACATTATATAAAAGTACTTTGCTGCTCAAAAGTGGTTCCAGTAAAGTCAATGGAAACATTGTCACTCATTTCTAGCAAGTGTCAGGCCTTGAGTGAAATCTCCAGGCATACTAATGCTTTCTTGCAAGTACTGAATTTGTTTTAGATGTTGGCCCATCTCTTCTTTTCCCTGTGTTTCACAGAATATCAAAAGTATTTTTTTTATTGGGTTTTCACCTATTATTGCTTACAGTGCAGATGCCTCTACTTTCAGGCAGTTCCAGTCATGTAGGCTACCTCCCGTGGTGAGGTGGGGAGACTATTACTGAATCACTTAAGTGACAATGAAGGGTGAACCGATAGCGCTTCAGTAATTTCCCAGCTATGATCTTAAGCTGGCTTAAAATACTTTCATACCTGCTATTGAATTAGCAAAAGGTCTGTACTTGAGTTATGAAATATTTATTACTTTATTCAGGATACTGAGAAGGTCTTCGTACGATCAGGGACTTTGCATATATGCCTTGTTATCATAATTTACTTTGCAAAATCTGAATATATGTTTCAAATATAAACTGAGACAACACACAACTGTATTTTGTTAAGGTAATTTCCTGCTTATGTTTTCTGGTTGGATTGAATCCCTTCATACTTTTTAATCAAGTTCTATTAGGTATGAAAATGCCACATGTCCAGAAGAGGGTATCAAGGATTATTTTGGAATCATGTCTCAAACATACATAAAAATAAATGTTTGTTTATTTTAAAAGACTGAAGCCTCACCTTGTTCATTGTTTTTAAACTGATTCAATTTCAGTGTCTGTCTTCCAGTCTACTTGCCGCAGATGGAAAGTTTTGAATTTAAGGCTGTGCTGAATGGATTGCATCCATCCCACACCAGTTCAGGCAGCTAACGTTTCAGAACTGATGATAAACTTAGAAGGAGGGGACAGAATTTAATGCTTACTTTGTCAATAATTTTCTCCTATTCACTTGTCGATAATGGCGATATTCAGTTTGCTTTGTAAATGAGCACGCTGTCATAGATGTTCTTAGAGGTAGTGTAATATGTTTTCAACTGTAGATAACTAAAGGGAACATCTTGACAATGTGAGGTAACTGCTTTTGTGTTTCGTAGAACCAGGGCATTGGTTGCCACGTGTGAATGAAAGGTGTTAATGTCGGTTATGTGTCCATAACTCTGTCTTTATAGGAGCTGCAGATCCACTGTGCAGAAGGACAAGCATTATTGAATGCTGCTGTCCACGCTAGAGAGGAGGTGATTCCCTGGGGCATTCCCCAGATAGAAGACCGAGCCCTGGAATCCTTACGGCAGGATTGGCAAGTTTATCAGCACAGGCTTTCTGAAGCAAGAAGCCAATTAAATGCCACTGTGAGCAGACTGAGGTTAATGGAGAAAAAATTTCAGAAGGTTAATGACTGGCTAACGGGTCTGGAGGAAAAAGTTGCTATCAGGACTGGGAGGCAGTCTGGTAGAGCAACAAAGGACGTGCAGCTTCAGCAAATGAAGGTAAAGAATATAGTTAAGGCATTCCTTAAGCAAAATACCACGTGAGGTTTCCACATCAGTTCCCGGTTACACTGTGAAAATGACAGGAAGCACTGGAATTTATTCTGAGGTGGTGCCTAGAGTGATGGACTCATGAGGGCTTCGTGCCAGGTTCCTCCTATTTTACTGGTAAGGGTATGGCTATACCAATGTTGAAATCTCATAGGAAGATCTGGAATTCATGTGCTTTGTGATATATGAAGGCCTATCCAAGGACAAAGATCAATCCTGGAGTAGGGAAGTGTTAATGTTGTAACAAGAGTAAAATGTGACCAGCTGTGTTGTGAAGTCTCTGCTGTGTTGATGTAATAATACTCCTTTAGTCACTGCAAAGAGAACGCAGGGGTCTGAATAACCACAGGAAGCAGATTTGAAGAGATTCAAGGTTATACTTTACAGTCACCTTTAAACCTTTGGGCAAATTCTATAAGAAGTCCAGGTTGCATTTCTATTATTATTGGGGGGGGGGAGGGAAGTATTGAATCTATTGTAATGAAAGGCAGTCCATATGGTATGATAAAGCTTCCAGCTTATTCGTTACATTAACCTTCATCAGATTTTCTTTTATTTTCCTGTAGTAAATCCACGTTTTACAACCATGTAGTTGTTTTCCTTTTCAATGATTTCCTGACAGTTACAAATAAATTCCTGTTGTGTTTAAGATGTTTGAATCAGTCATATAAGATGGATAATGTCTTTCTCATAGAAGTGGCATGAGGAGATTACAATCTACAAAGATGATGTGGAGGAAGTTGGGGTATTGGCTCAGCAAATACTAGAGGAAAGTCTCACTGCAAGTACAATGGGAAGCCAGGCTACACAGCTCACCTCTCGCTACCAAACACTACTTCTTCATGTTTTGGTAAGTAATGAAAATTAATTCATTATAACAACATAAATTGTCAGTTAAGAAGCAAATATTAAACAGACTTTCTTAATAAGACTTTATCAGTTTATTCATTACCGTAGATTCAATAATATAATATTCACATATATATTCATATATATCCACACACATACATGTGGATTTTCATTCGTATTAGAGAACCGTAATCAGCATAATGCCCTTTCAAAAATTTTCAGTATTAATCAGATGTTATTAACTTCTTTTTTAGCAGTTTCAGGGGAGAATTTCAGAATTCAGTATCTTTGAATGCTGAACAACCTCTAGAGAAATGTTTTCAGGTTATCACTGAAATACAGGAAAATTTGAATTGATAAGGTAGAGTCTTCAGGTCACATTAAGTAGTGAGTGTCTGATAGTACCGTCATCACAAGTCACAATTCAAATTTCAAAATATAAGTACATTTTCAGTGTTTATTATTAACTCAGTTTTAACATTAGTGATTGCTATATGTACACCCTGACAAGATCTCAGTGAGAATTACCCCTTAGATATGAAAGTATTCAAAACCTATGTGTTTAATCTTAGTATATCAGGTTTTATTAATAAATGGCAATTTATTGCTATCTTTAGCCAATAGCAATGATAAACTTCTATGTGGTTTTGTTTCTTCCCCCTACCCTCCATATTTGTTTGAAGGAGCAAATAAAATTTCTGGAAGAAGAAATACGCTGTATGGAGGAGTCAGAATTAGCTTTTAGTGCTTACACAAATTGGTACGGCGCTACTAACAAGAACTTCAGAAATGTGATCACCAAGTTTGACGTGGTTGATAGAACAGCAATGGAGAAAAAAGTGCAGAAACTAGAGGTACAGCTTTCTTGAATGCAATTTTTGTTTCTTTCTGCCAAAAATAAGCTATGTTTTAACATGCATCTTAACAGCTGCTCAAAATTCTGACTTCATCTTGCCCAGAGAAGCTAACAGGATAAAGATTACTGGGTATGAACTTTCTGTTCTCATGTCATATACGCATTAGATCGCAGTCTGGTTGCTGAGATCCTACATAATATAATCCTATCCTTCATAAGGCATGTTTGTATGCGTTTTGTTTTAGGTTAAAACTTACAATAAATTCCCCTCACAAAGCAACCTTTCAAGAATATTCTATACCAACACGCACTGTGGCAAGAAGTGCTTCCTATTTCTCCTTATTGAAATAACTCACTAGTAAAACTCACGTTTCATCTCAGAGTTGTAGATGAGTTTTTCATATGTCCTGCAGTTTAAGCATAATAAGCTAAGGGAAAACTTTAATCTATTCCAGAATTTGGGGTATGAATCCTCTCCTGATAGCCCTCAGTTTCTGTGTTTATCTTTGCAGTTTTGTAATGCAAAGTCCAGTCAATTTCCCTAGCAATTCCTTCTGTGTCCTTAGCAAAATTTTTTTTAAAAAATAGCTTCTCACTAATAATAGAACTACAATGAATTAAAAAAAAAAAAACAAAAAAAAAAAACCCAACAAAAAAACCCCACCCAAAAACAAAGCAAGAGCTTGCATACATTTTCTGTTAACCAACACTTCCTTCCCAGCTGCTATTGAGTGATATGGACATAGGACACAGTTTACTGAAATCTGCTCGTGAGAAGGGGGAGCGAGCTATAAAGTACATGGAAGAAAATGAAGTTGACCAGTTAAGAAAAGAAATTGGAGACCATGTGGAACAGCTTGAAGAGCTGGCTGGCTCCATCAGGAAAGAGCACATGACTTCAGAGAAGTGCCTTCAGCTGGCGAAGGAGTTCTCGGACAAGTACAAGGCACAGACTCAGTGGGTCATGGAGTACCAAACCATGTTACATGCTCCAGCAGAGCCAAAGAGTGAACTCTATGAGAAGAAGGCCCAATTATCCAAATACAAGGTAAAAAGGGGTTATATCATTGTACTCTTGAATTGCTTTTGACCCAATGACTTGCAATAAATCCTCTGATCCAGGTGTCTGTTCAGGTTTCCTCAATAGATATGTGAGTTGTCTCTGACCTAGATGTCCAAATCAGCATCAAAGTGAAAAGATGCATGATACCTGCATGTATGAAGCAGAGCGAGCACCTGGATTTGAAATGTGAATGTCCTAATAAGGCTTCCACATCTGAAAATTTCCTGTTATGGAGCAAAATTCTTTTTTGAGTACACATATGAGTAATTCCATATCAACAGAGTTAACTGCTGTTTAAGTAAGGATAGAATTCAGTTGGTCTTTCGTCACTGCAGACATTGCCTCTGTTTACATTAGCTTAATCAGCTTTCTGGTTAAAGCTGAATGTCCCAGCTCAGCTGACATCTAAGACAGTCAGCTGCTATGGCCTCCTCTGCTTTTTAGTTAGGATTTTAATGAAGTGGGGTTGTTTGGTTTGTTGTTGTTTTGGTTTTTTTCATTTGTAAAAAATGACAACAGACCCCATTGCTTCTCTTAATTATGTTTTTGTAAAATACTCCAGGATTACAAATGTTTCTTAAGATGTCTGGCTGGGATGGAGCTAAATCTCCTCATAGCAGCCCGTATAGTGCTGTGCTTTACATTTGTGGCTAAACCAGTGTTGCTAACAAACCAATGTTTTGGCTACGGCTGAGCAGTACCTGCACAGCATCAAGATTTTCTCTCTGAAACTGCCTACTACCCATCTCCAGTTTCGATACTCAAAGTCATCTGCAATTGCTGTGTGCTTTCTACATGTTTGGGGAGCTGGTGTCTCACTCTCATTTGATAGATGCTGACACATGCCATGCTGTCTGAGCCAGTGGCACAATGACGTAACAGATCAGATTGCATACATTTGAAGGTATGCACTTATTTACATACTATCTCATTAAGAGGATGGCTTTGGTGATATTTTCCCACCTATTTGCAGAATTTGTTCCTCTGAACAAATTTTCTTCCTAGCAATTGCCCCTTCACAGATATTAACTCCTCCTTCACCAGCTCTGGATTATCAGCTGTGCTATTAGCCGCTCACAAAAGGAGCAATTACTCTTAGATGCCTGCAAAGTTGTTGTCTCGGGGCACAGATGAGAAACTTAGTCTTGTACTGGTAGCAAAGCTCTTTCATCTGGAAAGGATGATATATACCATGATAGAAGGCTGTGCTTCAGATCAAAGGGAAGTTAGTGAAATAGATCTTCAGTGTTCAATTTTTATTTTTTGTTTAATTCTTGCTTGCATTGTAGTCCATACAGCAGACTGTTCTGTCTCATGAGCCTTCAATAAAATCAGTGATTGAAAAGGGAGAAGCACTTTTTGACCTGGTAAATGATGTGACTCTAAAGAACAACATTCAAGACCTTCAGAGCAGTTACCAGGAACTCTGCAGCACAACAAAGGTAAAAAGGCAGGGAGAAAACTCAAGATTCTTTCAATTTGCTGTATCTTTTCGCCCTCTTTCAGAAGTTGACTATTTGTTTCATGCTGTCATGTCACACCCTGTACAAAGGGTCAGTTGATTTATTCTATTATTTGGGGGGGGGGAGGGGGAAGTAGGGGAGTAGGATTCCTGAATATGGAAAGAAATTCTACCTAAGTAACAAGAGTAGCTGAAATGAATTTTGAGTGTGGCAGGTTAAGTCTTCATAGCACTAAGGGGAAACATATCAGTGACTAGTTTGTGATATTGTTACTTTTTTTAATTGCTTTGAATAGATTTCTAAATACACTATTTCCTGAAGGGACACATGCCCTTAAATTATACCCTTTTGTCTCTTGTTTCTGCTAGATCTCGCACAAACTCAGTTTAATTTAGTTTAGTTTTGAATAGAAGTCACTGGAGGAAATGAACTGCGAGATGGATATAATTTAATTCAGCAAGGGCATTATTAATTAACATTGATTCATTAGTCCACATGTATATAGTACTTTGAAAGATTTAAAACTTCTAAATACATCCTAAAGTATGATTATTCCTAAAGCTTTTAATAGGTTATACTCCTAACAAGGATAATCTCTGCAAACCATGGTAGTACTTATGTTTGACCTAAGTACCTTTAATTGCCAATCCATCCACCAATAGCAGATTATTTTTTTTTCATGGTTGATTTCCAATTTACAGGCTTTCCTCTGATCTGTACCACAAAACTGATATTTGTTGCATTAGATGTAATGTTGATGACTTAAATGTAGAGAAACGTATGAAAAATCTTTCTTAAAAAGAATAAATACATTTTAACTCAATGTGTACGTTGTTAATTTGCCCACCACAATCACAAGCAATACATACGTGCAAAGGCTGTAAGCAGCAGGGACCCAACCATAACATTTGGTGGGTCATGTGCAGTCTCTCAAAGAGCATGTATTAACTGTTTATAAGTGCACTTAATGTCAAGTTGATAGTGTTCCTTTTCTTAAAGTAAGAAGATACTCAGTGCTTTGCTCAGTCTTCAAAGTATGGTATTTCATCTAGAGTGAAAATACTGCTCTGTACCAGACAGTTTATTCGCACAAGGAATCCCTTCATTGTCTTCCTTAAAAGTCTAATCACGTGAGAGTCCATGACAGGAATATGAATTTATAAGATAACTCTCTTACTGTGCTTTCAAACTCTTGGTGGGTTTTAGTTTGGGGGGGTGGGTGGGTGGTGGTGTGTGTGCGGGGGTGTGTGTCAATTACTGTAATTACCTCAATATTTAATTTTTGTTATTGTGGACCTGCAGGCATATGTTGAAACATTAGAGGTGAGAGTAAAAGAACATGAGGACTACAATAGTGATTTGCAAGAAGGGGAGAAATGGTTATTACATATGTCCAGCAGGCTGGTCAGCCCTGATCTCATGGAGAGTAACAGTCTTGAAATAATCACTCAGCAACTAGCTAACCACAAGGTGGGTTTGCTATTGTGTAAACTTCCTTTGTCCAGTAAAATAGAATTTTTCTTATTTCCTTTTCTGTGTCTCTCACTACGAAGCTCTAGGTGAATTTGTCATTCACCTGTTTCCTTCCTCTTACTGCTAACTGTGTAAATAACTGTCAGTGTCATTAATGCAGTTAACAGAACTACCTTGTTGTTAGTGCTCTTTCTTGGATGAGGCTACATCTGCACAAGAGCTTTTTTGTGCGCTGGTCTGAATTCTGTGTCAGATTTTTGCTGAGATGCCCCAGAAAATAGACCAAATAAAGCAGAGTAGGGTCACTTTATTGAAATATTTTATCTCATTGTGATTAGCATGTTACTCTTTAAGTAACCTCCTTAGATAAAAATTTGGCTCCCCCAAAGTCAACAGAAAGAACTGTCTACAGTGGAAACGCTTATGGAATAAGATATGATTCACCATCATTTTTAGTCCTCATTACTAGACATGAGAAGCAACAAAGGAAGATTAAGGGTACACTTGGGGCATGAGCATATAATGTTTACACATTATGACAGTGCTACTGATGTTTCTGTGGGATATCTGTGTACAGACTTTTGACACTGATTTTACAATAAATATACACTGTAATAGCTTGACTATAACAACACGTGATATCTGAAAACTTTTTTCCAATTCTGAAGACAAATTGTGTTTAAGGAAAAAAAAAACAACCTCAGCTCATTTAAAAAGCTGTGATGCAGAACATGTTTAAGATTTGAATACTTCAAATTATTTTATCTATTTCTTAGGCTATCATGGAAGAAATTGCAGGATTTGAAGATCGTTTGAACAACCTTAAGAGTAAAGGTGATTACTTGATCGATCAATGCACTGAACATCTTCAAGCAAAATTTAAGCAAAACATACAAAGCCACCTTCAGGGGACAAGAGACAGCTATTCTGCCATATGTAGCACAGCCCAAAGGGTAAGTCTTGTTTCAAAAAACTTTTTATGCCATTTAAGAATAACATGCATTATTATTTCTCTAAGTACTTGTTTCTTTAAATGGTATAAAACTCTTTCTACTGTTTCCATTTAAATTAAGTCTACAGGTTACTAATGTATAGCACTTCATCATTACTGTGGTACAGTTGAATTTCTTGTGATCCAAATGTTGCCTTGCAGCCAGGGAAACTAGCTTCTTCTCAGTTTTTACCTTAATCTGTCCACACCCTCACTACCTTCATGTACACTAGTTTATGAGCAGCTGCAGCAAAGAATTTAGAACTATTCCTGAACCAAAAACTAGGGAGCAAATTGCACTCTTACTGTCAGCAGTTTGCATACATACATAACAGGTCATAATTATGTGCTAGGAAATACTGTCTCTCTTACTAAAACCAGAATATACAGTTAAGAAGGGCTAGCTGGGTCATTCTGTTAATCCAATTAGGAGATCAAGCCAGCATAGTCTAAAAAAAAAAAACACAAACCAAAAAAAAACAACAAACAAAAAACCCGAAAACAAACAAAAAAAACCCCCCAAAAGTATATTTCACAGTCAGTAACATTTGTGGAGGTAGGTAAAACCTCATACTAGATCAATGGCAAAGTGTTGAACAAGAATACAGAAATAAGAGATAATGCTCTTCATTTGCATCTTTATTTTGTCTTTCCAGAAGCCATGCCTTAGATATTGTCCATCTTCTCCACAAATTAACAAGATGCAGTGGGAGCTTAAGGAGCTTTCGTCCCTCGGTACTTTGCACAAGGGCTAAAATAACCACAGTGTTAATAATTCTGTTTTATCTGCAGTTTTCAAGGTGGGAGAAGAGAGCCAGTAGTGGTGTTTGAAAATGCACTCACCTTACAAAATGTTTATTTTAGGTGTACCAGAGTCTGGAACATGAACTCCAGAAGCATGTTAATCATCAGGATACCCTACAACAGTGCCAGACTTGGCTGTCTACAGTGCAGTCAGAGCTAAAGCCAGCTACCTGGCCACCTTTCAGCCTGGCAGATGCAGTTAAACAGGTAAAAGTTCAGAACTTGAAAATGCTCAGTTATCCTTAGTAAGGTGAGTTCAGGTAAGAGCTTTATATTAATAGAAATTAGATACTCTTTCTGATTTTCTCAGAGGGCTGTGTGGCCTCTTTTTTTATTCCCAGCTCCCAAAGGCATTCCTTGAGTGAAAAATAACTGCACGTGAAAAACCACCCAGGGCCTTTGCTAGCTCTGCTTAATGCTTAGAAATATGTTACCCCCAAAAAAGTTGGCTCATTAGATAAACCTGCTCAGATACTCCACAGGTATGTTTAGCAGAGAGGTTGTGTCTTTTTGCTTGTCTAATTGCCCATCTATCTACTAATATTCCTATATGAGTCCTGGTTTCATAGTACCATGGACACAGAGTCTGTTGTCAGGCACTTAAAACAATTTTTCAGCCTAAGAGCGTAGAACTGCCTCTAGTCCACATTAGCCACTAAGAATGGTTTCTTTGCTTCTTGATTATTCTTAGTAACTTAATGTATTTTACATTGGATTTGTACCTTGTTTTCAAATTAAACTGGTATGATACTAAAAATGCTGGAGTTCAGGGCTGTCTCATCTGCCACGTCGCTTAATAGGGACCTTGAAATACTACAGATGGCAGCTGTGCAGGGGCAGGGGGAGCAGGGGGTGATGGTGGAGCCAGCAGGGCAGCACCTTCCCAATGACATGCAGACCTGCAGCACACAGGTGAGGAGAGCAGAGTCCCCCTGGTGTCAGCCACCACCTGGTGATCACCAGGAAAGTCTGTAGGGGTGAGGCCAGTCCCACATGGAGGCAGGAGGTCAGGGCAGCAAGGCAATGCCAGAAGGATCAGCCAGGCACAGATGCATCTATAGTGTAGCTCAGGTGAGGGCCATAGGTGGGTGAGGGCCTGAGCTTGCATGCAGCTCTTGAGCAAGGTGGAAGGCTTCTGAACAGTTTTCCATGGGCCAGGTCCCAGCTGGGCCAAGTCAGAGCTGGCCCTGAGCAGAGGCAGCCAAACCCCAAGGAGAGGGAGATAGAGGTTGCAAAACCCTTTAGTGCACTGAAGGCCCTGACCATCCCTAAGGATTAGGGACCTGTTCCAGTCCTTAACTGTTCTCAGTGTGAAAAATAGTTTCCCTCATGTCTAGGAAGAATTTCCGTGTTGCAACTTGTCACTTTTCCCCCTAGTCCTTTTTCTGCTTACCTCGGCAAAGAATTTGGCTCTGCCTTCTCAGTACTGCTCCCACCTGACCTCTACTATTTTTGGGTAATGGCAGACCAGAATTAGCCTCTCTTCCCCAGGCTGAACAAACCCAGTTCCTTCAGACCTGCCCAAACCATGTACTACAGCCCCATTCCCCCCACTGCCCTTTGCTGGACTTGCACCAGTTTGCCATTATCTCTTGTATGGGGAAAGAGGGAAACTGGGCCAAATACACCAGGGACAGCCTGACAAGTGTAAGTACAGGAGAATAATTGCTTCCCACAGTTTGCTTTCTGTGTTGCTGCTAATACAGTAATTTGGGGTTGCCACAAGGGCACACTGCTGTCATGTTCAACTTTTTGCCCACAAGGACCCACCACTGGCCCTCTGTGGTGGGTTACTCACCCCTCCTCCCTGGGTCTGTAGGAGGTGTGTTACTGCCCTGCTTGTCAACACTAATATCATTGTTTTCTTTTGGGATGAGGAAACTCTTCATAGGGAGAGGTGAGCTCCTACAGGGAATGTCAAAAGCAAGAACCCTGAACAGCATCATGTTGTCTGATCTTGGCAATTGTAGATACTGGGAGGGTTTCAGAAGGTTTGGGAAAGCATCTTGTACCACTGGGCTGGATTCCCCATGATCTGCCAGATGCTGGAGAATTTTATAGGTATGGGCAACATGACACTTTAATAATTGGATAAAGCCCTGCTTTCCATTCACCTCGGGAACGTAAGCCATCTTGTTGAAACTGTGTGTATCTATCCAACGCTTTATTTATAAAATACAAGCTAGGTAATGCGTATGTCACTAAGCGCTTTGATAATTGGATGATAATCAATTAGGGTTAGTCTTTTCCATAATTACGACAAAGCAGCCTTACCTAATAAAATAGTGTATGTCTACGTTTCATCTTTTGGAAATAATAGGCTAAAGTAAAAATATTAAAATACGTGATTGTCATAAAATAAGATATTATTTCCACAGTCTCGAAGTTTATTTGAGGGTTGTCTTCCCTCAGGTGAAACATTTCCGGGCTCTGCAGGAGCAAGCCAATACATACTTGGATCTTCTGTGCTCCATGTGTGATCTGTCAGATGCCACAGTGAAGAATACAGCAACAGATATTCAACACACAAAACAAACGGTACAAGATAACCACAACAACCTGCTTTTAATCCTATTTAGAGCTTTAACTGCCTTGGTCTGTCCTCTTTTAAAAAGGTCATATTGGGTAACAGTTTAAAGAAATGTCTTTTTACTTTCATCTTAAGTATTTCTTTTAGAAATAGTTTTCTCTTTCTACTTCTCTCTCTCTTTTTTTTTTTTTTTTTAATTAGATCAATACATTTCTATCCTGGTAGTAACGCAAAGACACGACAAAGGTTGCTAAAAGTACTAAGGCAATGTTACGAGGTGTTGGCCTAAAGCTGCACAAATAACATTCTATGGAAGAAAACCTGATCCAAATTATTGTTTTCATAAAACACAATTCAGTCTATTCTTCTCTGTATTTATTAAGTTTAGACATATTTTACTGTTATTATTTATTTAACAGTAGATATCAATCTTATTAGGACATACTTAAATATTAGTTATAATAATAATAAAAATTATGATGGTTCAATTCATAAATCAGAGTGCATCTGTTTCAGCATATGAATTCATAGTGTACCTCAATTTTAAGTTTTAAAGTAGCTTAATGCTTGGTTTTAGAATAAAATTATAAACATAACAGTTATTAGAAGACAAACATTATGAGCATACCTGTTATAAACATGAAAATTTTAGTTTCCCATACACACATAACTAAACTTTTCAAACTACTTCTACCAAGAGTAAAAATCTAATATATACAGTAACAGTATTCCATACCAGAGAAGCAAATTGTACAAATCCAAGTAATCCATAAAAAAATGGCAGTCCAAATACTGAATAGCTAAGAAGTATCCCAAACATCAGAATGAGATTCTCCTTTTATATATAAAGCAGTGAAACATTTTTAAGAAATCACACTCGGTACAGTGCTGAGGTGTATTAAGCTGGTTGAGTGTCTAAACCTTAAAGGCGCCCTACTGCTGTATTTGGAGCAAAAGAAGCTGTGTGACTGTTGGTTTAAAGTGATTAATGGGCTCAGATCCGGTAAGCATTCTTCTTATTGGCATTTTACAAAAGGCATATAGGCAAAATAACTGGGCTAAGCAAATTAAATGGAAGTGTTTAGTTTAAGCTTTTATTTGGTCATTGTGAAGGCATGTAGAGCAGAGTCCAGCAGTATTCTTGCCGTGCAAGAGACTAAATCATACAGTTAATTTAAGCTTTAACAGAAGACTGAGAACACTTTGAAATACACACCCTCAAAAATATAGTTGCTTCTCTTGAGGGTGAATGATAATTCTTTTTTTTTTTTTCCCACAGCTTTCCTTTGATAGGTCTGATTTTTATGACTTTTGAAGGTTAAGACTCTTCTTGTGGATAATATCAGACCTTCAGAATCTAGTGCAGACTTTTTCTGTTAGTACAGTAATGTGCTCAGAGGAAGAATGGTATTCATCCTCCATTCTCCAAAAATAGCTGCATTAAAGCATTCCTACTCTTTTTCATTTCTTTTCTTCTAGATTGAGCAACAGATAATGCACTCTCAGTACTTGGCTCAAGGTTGGGAAGAGATCAAACAAATGAAGGCTGAGCTCTGGATATATTTCCAGGATGCAGATCAACAACTACAGAATTTGAAGAGAAGACGAGCAGAGTTGGAGCTAAACATTGCCCAGAACATGGTACTGCAGGTTAAGGTAAGGAGACTTTAGGTTAAGAACAATAGGTAAGGAAGTTCATCCTGTGGCTGATTTTATTATAATTCATGTTATATGCATGTATTGCATAGAATTGCTAATGCATTCTAAGAAAGAGCAGAGAAGACAGAGGAAAGAGGGTTTCCTTACTGATACTACAGGGCAACACAGAAAGCAAAACACTGTACTTTAATATTTTTCTGGGTAGTTTTTTTAATAGTAGACAATTTTCAGCCTGTTGTTCTGATTTGCCTTCACTTTTAATAGGCTGTCATGGTTTCAGCTAATTGCTGGTCACAGTGGACCTGAAGATAAGATCCGCAATTTGTGCTTGCTAAGTTCTTTGATTCCAATACTTCTAAATTATTTAGATCTGTTTCAAAATTAGTCTAGGAAACTATTTGATGCTGCTGGACTCTGAAAACCGTGGCAGAATAGGTACAACAGCAACCCAATTTAGTTTACCCAAAATAATGAGACAAATGCCTTCAGATCTTCACTCATTCATTTAAAGATGAGAGAATTTTTATGGCCATTCTGCACACATCAAAAATGATTAAATGCTTGTGTTTGCAGTTTTGGTCTAGACTTTGCTTGTATGCTTTTTCTGATACGATAGGAGTTAGGTGAAAAGTAGCAGCACTTCCTTTTCATGTCTGTTCTACACAAGTGTTTGAACAAAGTCATAGCACTTGAAGATACCTCAGCACAATGTGGACTGAAAGCTGTTACACTACCTATCATTAGAGTCCAGGAAGAAGCAGGAGTCTGTATTTCTTCACTGTTTCAGACAGGAACTTTGGATTATTATGAAAGGCAGGCACCTGATGTACTGTCAGATGTGGCACAATGTGTATTTTTTCCTAGAATTCGCCCTGGTAATTGAAGATGCCTAGCTCCATTTGAAGCAGTCACAAAGAGGAATGAAGCGGAGCTGGGCCAGTAGGAGCTCTCCTCCAGAACCCCTACCAGTCCTCAGTGAAAACGCATCATCCTAGCAAAGTGCTGGTGCTGGGCATGTTTGTTTAGTTACAGTTATTGGAACTAGAATTTGGGAAAAGATTATATTTACCCTAAACAGTGTGTAATATTTGAAATATATTTGGTTTCTTTTAGTTGTCAGTACATCGGGGTTTTTTTGGTTTTTTTTTTTTTTTTATTAACTTTGTAGCCCTCTATTGTACTCTCTCCAGTAGTTCTGTGTCTTTCTTGAACTGGGGAGCCCAGAACTGGACACAGTACTCCAGATGTGGCCTCACCAGGGCAGAGTAGAAGGGGAGGATGACATCCCTTGACCTGCTGGCCACACCTTTTTTAATGTAACCCAGGATACCATTGGCCTTCTTGGCCACAAGGGCACATTGCTGGCTCATGGTCAATTTGTTATGCACCAGGAATTCTGGTTCCCTCTCTGCAAAGCTGTTTTCCAGCAGGTCAACCCCTAACCTGTACTGGTGCATGGGGTTATTCCTCCCCAGGTGCAGGACCCCACACTATTATTATATATAAACAATCATTGGTTTTGTTTCAATAATGATAGCAATAGTGGTCGCTATTACAGAAGTAGGAACAAAATGAAGTATGGATGTGGGGGCTCACTGACTCATGGACTCTGCTTCCTATTTTTAGTCTCTAATGAAAAAGGAAAATGAAGAGAATGAGCTAGAAACTGTACTGGTAAAATGAATTCTCATGAGACCCAGAGTATCTTGCATGTTTTAGTGTACAGTGGGAGCGGTGCTAGTCTTGAAGCCTGGACAAGGTGTGACTTGATCATGATTTCTGTTTATCACTGGCACTTGGAAACTGCTCTGGTTTGCTTTCACGTCTATAACCAACCTGTCCTCACATTAGAAGATGGGGAGAAAGATTAGGGGAGGGGCAAAGGCACTTCTTCCAATTTACATCAGCACAGCATTTGCCTGGGCAGAAAATTAGTCCTTACACAATTTATATATTTCAGAGTTTTTATTTAAATTCCATCTTATAATTTTGAGCAGGTGTCACCATATTGGTTTTGACTTGTATCTTTTTCAGGAATTCAGTCAGAAGTTGCAGTCTAAGCAGTCAGCTCTTACCTCTGTGACTGAGAAGATGAACAAACTAACCCAAGGACAGGAATCACCTGAACACAAGGAAATAGGAGAGCTGAGCAACCAGTGGCTGGACCTCTGCCTTCAGGCACACAGTTTGCTCATACAGAGGGAGGAGGATCTGCAGAGGACGGGGGATTATCATGATCGCATGAATGTGGTTGAAGTTTTCTTGGAAAAGCTCACAAAAGAGTGGGACAACCTGGCTAGGTAAAAAAATGTAGTGGCATGCACAAAGCTGACAGCGCATATACGCTGAAAGAGCTGTTTACAGAGCATCTCTAAATAGGATCCACTAAAAGTCCCTTTTCCCATCCTTAATTAAAAGCAGGCCTCCTTTATTAATTATAGGACAATTACTTGTATTGAAATAAAGAGCTTGAGAAGCCAGATCTTCAGTGTTTGTCTTTAAGGCAAGCACTGTTTGATCTCATCTCAGGGATATAGCATTTTCTGATATTTCAAGCATTTTGACTATTTTGTTTGAACTCTTTCATTTGGCTTACTGTGTTTCAAGTGTGGTTTTCATTGTGATACTGTGTTTTATCTACTAGGCTGTTATATTAAAGTTTAGTTGCTTCTGCTAAATGATTGCAGCTGCTTTGTATAGCATAAACACACCAGCTGTGTGTAAAATTGTGAGAATATATTGCTGCTGCTCTGACTTTTGCGGAAAAAGATTCACTTCAACTTCAGTACTTGTTGTTTATATGGGCAATATAACCAGAATACTCTGTAGTATTCATGTTGATTTTTACGGTCAGCCTGATGACTACATTGCAGATGAAAGGGAGAGGACTAAAAACTTTTTAATTAATATTCAAGACTGGTACCTTCAAAAGAATGTGAAAACTGTGAAAAATATTTACAGCATAAGGATTTCAATATATTGTGGGCTTATAATTCATCCTGACTTCTTTTAAAAATCTATCCTGAGACAAGATCTAATTAATTTTTGTCCTATCCATTTTGATAACAGATCTGATGCTGAAAGTACAAACGTGCACCTTGAAGCTTTGCAAAAATTGGCACTGGCACTACAGGAAAGGAGATTTGCTCTGGAAGACTTGAAAGATCAGAAACAAAAGATGACAGAACATCTGAATCTTGATGACAAAGAATTAGTAAAGGAGCAATTTGGTCATTTTGAGCAACGCTGGACTCAGCTGGAAGACCTTGTCAAAAGGAAAATTCAAGTTTCTATTTCAACATTAGAAGAGCTCAATTTGGTGCATTCAAAATTTCAGGAACTAATGGAATGGGCAGAGGAGCAGCAACCTAGTATGTCAGAGGCTCTTAAACAGAGCCCTCCTCCAGATTTGGCTCAGAGTCTTCTCGTGGATCATCTTACCATTTGCAGTGAGCTTGAAGCCAAACAGCTTGTTCTGAAGACGCTTGTGAAGGACGCTGACAGGGTGATGACCAACCTAGGGCTTAATGAAAGGCAGGAGCTGCAGAAAGCACTTTCTGATGCACAGCACCATGTAGACTGTCTCAGTGATCTGGTTGGCCAGAGGAGAAAGCACCTGAATAAAGCACTGTCTGAAAAGACCCAGTTCCTTATGGCAGTCTTTCAGGCTACAAATCAAATTCACCAGCATGAAAAGAAGGTAACATTTCCGGAACACATTTGTCTGTTGCCAGAAGATGTGAACAAACAGATCAGGACTTGTAAGAATACCCAGGCTAACCTGAAGGCCTATCAAAATGAAGTCACGGGGTTGTGGGCTCAAGGAAGGGATTTAATGAAAGAAGCCACAGAACAAGAAAAGAGTGAAGTGTTAGGTAAACTGCAAGAACTACAGAATGTGTATGACACTGTTTTACAAAAGTGTAACCAAAGATTGTTAGAACTGGAGAAAAATATAGTTTCCAGGAAATATTTCAAAGAAGACTTGGATAAAGCTTGCCATTGGCTAAAACAAGCTGATATTGTCACATTCCCAGAAATCAATGTAATGAATAGTAACTCTGAACTATACACGCAGTTGGCAAAATATCAACAGATTCTTGAGCAAACTCCAGAATATGAAAATCTGTTACTTGCACTGCAAAGAGATGGCCAAGAAATCCTACCATCACTTAATGAAGTGGATCATTCTTATCTGGATGAAAAACTTAACAGTCTCCCTCAGCAGTTCAATATTGTCACTGCTCTGGCAAAAGAAAAATTATATAAGGTTCAGGAAGCAATTTATGCCAGAAAAGAGTATGCCTCTCTGATTGAGTTGACAAGTAAAGCTCTGACTGAGCTAGAAGATCAGTTTATTAACATGGACAAAGCTCCAGCTGCTGTTTTAGCCAAAGAAGCTGTGTCACTCCAGCAGGCCTACAGAGATCTCCTAGGTGAAGTGGTGAGCCTTGGTGGAGCAGTGGATGAACTAAACCAGAAGAAGGAGGCCTTTCGAAGCAGTGGCCAGCCATGGCAACCAGATGAGATGTTAAAACTTGTCACGCTCTATCACAAGTTGAAGAGGCAAATAGAACAGAAAATCAACCTGTTGGAAGACACAATAGAAGCATGCCAGGAGCATGAGAAAATGTGTGTTCAGTTTGAGGCACAACTAGAGGCAGTGAAGAAGGAGCAGATTAAGGTAAATGAAGAAACGCTCCCAATAGAAGAAAAGTTGAAAATATACCATTCTCTGGTGGGCAGCTTGCAAGACTCAGGGAGTCTTCTGAAGCGAATAACTGAACATCTAGAAGCCCTTTCTCCCCAGCTTGACTCTTCTGCATGTGAGGCAACAAATCACCAAGTGCAGTCTTGGCAAGAGAAACTAAAGTCTTTGCATGCTGCCATTGGTGACACCGTAATGGAGTGTGAGAACAGACTTGTGCAAAGCATAGACTTCCAGACAGAAATCTGCCGTTCACTTGACTGGTTGAGGTGGGTGAAAACAGAACTTAATGGAACATTAAGTTTGGACCTCAAACTGCAAAGCATCCAAGAAGAAATCCGAAAAGTTCAGATACATCAGGAAGAAGTGCAGTCAAGCCTGAGAATAATGAATGCACTGAGCAATAAAGAGAAAGAGAGATACATGAAAGCAAAGGAACTGATACCTGCTGATCTGGAAAACACTCTTGCTGAACTGACAGAACTAGATGGTGAAGTTCAAGAAGCTATCCACATGAGACAGGTTAGTGCACCCTAAGTGTCATTAGTTTCTTGCTCACGAAGCTGAAAAATATGGCTCTGTGGCTTGATGTTTGTAATCATTATGAAAAGATTGATTTTGATAATCCTGTTGTTTGGGGTTTTTTAATGACTTAGGTTGTGGCTGGTTGCCGTGGATAACTTGGTGAGGAGAGGGGGAGAATGCTTTCTTAATATGCATTTATACCTGCATATAGAAGTGCAAACTCACTCAAACCTACTTCCATGTAGTCTCTCCAGACCTGTATTTTAGATATAGTAAAAGGAAAAGAAAACAAGAATGGGCAAAATCCAGACTCTCAGCAGAGGATAGTTTTGTTGCTGCTGTGAATTTTATGTCTGTGACCCTCTGTATAATTTTCCCTTTTATTTCAGGCTACCTTGAACAAATTATATAGCCTCTGCCAAAGATACTACCAAGTGATGCAGCTAGCAAATGACTGGCTTGAAGATGCTCAGGAATTTCTACATTTAGCAAGAAATGGTCTTGATGTTGAGAACTCTGAGGAGAACCTAAGGAACCACATTGACTTTTTCAGCACGGAAAGTCAATTCAGTAATCACTTGAAGGAGTTACAGGGCCTTGTGTCTGAAATAGAGCCCTTTATCCAAGCCACAGCAAGAGAGCAGCTGATGCAGGATGTAGCTGCATTGGAGGAAAAGGCCAAAGGGACAAAGCAAGAAGCCAAAACCCAGCAAGAGCAGTTGCAAAGGTATATTCATCTTTTCTTTTTCTTTCATTTTAAGATCACCTTCTTGATGATGAAAAAAAGAGATAACAACATTAATTGGAGTTTTATAAAATGTTTGTGCTACTGATCAGAGAAGTGGATATCGGGATTCAGAGCTCTTGGATTCTGTTTTCTCCTCTGCTACTGACTGGCTAGGTGTGTGATCACGAGGACGCTATGATAAAATTATACAAAGCCTGGAACGGCATTGAGAAGAGTAGGAAATTACTGTCCCTTATTTCACCTGGCATAAGACCTATGCAGAAACAAATTAAATTGAAGCAGACATTTTGAACTAAAAGGAAATACCTTTTTAACCAGCATAACTATGTTACTTATTATTCCTGAATGTTCTGGATTCCAAAAGTTTGGGTGGGTTTAAAACATAGCATAGACAAAGTCACCGAGGAAAAGTCAATCAAGGGCTGTTAAATGCCAAGCTGTGTCTGTAAGGCATAGCTGAAAATCAGGAGCATATGCTTCTATGTGTAGTCTTTCCCAATAATCTTTCTTTTTCCTGGAAAATATGGTGTAACAGCAAAACTAAGCAGTTATATTGAAAATTAAGTACAACAATATTCCTGATTTTCAAATGGGTTTATACTGCATTAAATTGTTCTTTCTGGAACTATATTTTTAAGGTGTGCTTCTGAGTGGCAGGAGTACCAGACAGAGAGACAGAAGGTTATTGAAGTGATGAATGAGGCTGAGAAAAAGTTATCTGAATTTTCAGTAGCTAAAGCTGCTTCTTCTCATGAAGCAGAAGAGAAGTTGCTAACGCATAAGGTAAGGTACTGAAAACTATATGAAATCCTTTTCCTTGAGTGAAAATAAACACATGGTATGTAGGTTCCTACCTGTGGCAACCTGAATTTGAGTTTTTAAATCTTCTCCTGTTGTGCTTAACTGTGTCATAGCACACCAAGAGGTGTTTTGTGTTGGGAAGAACATGTGTTTTATTTGTGGGGTGACTGGGACAGATATTTTTAATCACTTTTCAGCTTAATCTCTATGTGCCTATGACTGTAGAGAACTGGAAGGAACCAGGAGGTTCCTAAAAGCTTTGGGAGCATTAGTCCCAAAACTGTGTACCCTACAAGACATTCAGATCAACAGAAACATCCATCTACTTTGGATCATGTGAAGTAGTTTTACTAGGACAGGAGGGGTTGCAGTTTAATATTAACTCTTGTTTAGTTTGAAAGACAGAAATGTAACTTAAAAGAATTACTTTCTCCTCTAGTGTTTAGGGTGCTAATCAGTTGCCTAAATAAAAGCAGTTAGTGGTGCTTCAGACATGCTGGCTGGTCTCCAGCTGTGTGTCTGAAAGCAGGAATCTCCCCTAAGAGTAGTGTCATGTCTTGCGGCTTCCTGAGAATATCCTGATACCCTTGGACATCTAAACTGGCATTAGAGATACGCATGACATAAAAGTATGCTTAAACACCTGAATTGCTTCTTTCTTTTTTAAACTCTAATAGAAGTCAATCTTTGTTACGAGAAGGGTCCTGAATACTCATTTTCATCCCTTTTGAAGGTCTAGCAAGGAAGAGAAAATGTGATTACACCATATTTCTGCTGCTTCCAGAGAGTTGCATTTGGACAAGGTGCTTCAAGTAGCTGTAGCTGGTGTATTGCATATGAAAAACAAAGTGAGACCTAACCACCTCACTCAGCATAGGGTACCTCCTCTTTGTCTGCAGTGGATGAAAGTGGATTGCATGTCTGTTGTAAAAGAGGAAAACAGTGCTTATTTTTGCTTTTTCAGACTCTTGTGTCTGTAGTGAATTCTTTTCATGAGAAGATCACAACCCTAGAACAAAAAGCCTCACAGCTGGAAAAAGTTAGCAATGATGCCAGTAAGGCAACTATAAGTAGATCCATGACAACAGTTTGGCAGCGCTGGACACGGCTCCGGAATGTAGCCCAAGAGCAAGAGAAAATTTTGGAAGGTGCAGTGCAGGAATGGAAGGGCTTTAATGATAAGGTAACTTCTGGTCTTGGTAAATCCTCCTTTACTAACTACCTAGGTTTTCACTCATTATACTGCCTTATTAATCATCTTGTGGTAGAGGAAGCTGATAGCAGGAATAACAGTGATTTTTCTCAGGTCTTATTAAAAAACAGCTATGGAATACTTAGGTTTAGAACCACTGCCTCCAAGGCTTGCACTATTCCTCTATATGCATAGTGTAGTAAATACAGAGTTGTTTTGGTTTCTAGTGGTTCTTCAGAATCTTATTCTCTGTTTCCCTTACCCAGATGGTTCTATTCTAGTCAACCTCTTTTTTTTTTTTTTTCCCTGTGGAGTATGAAGTTGCCATTTCTGAATTTATGCAGTGATATTATTGCCTGTCACTGGTCACTGATCAGGTGTCACTTTTTTTCCTTATATCCTACCTGACTCTTTTTCTGTCATTGTCCATTATTTTATGCTCAGATTGCAGGTTCTCTGAGAATGGGGATAATCTTTTTCTTAAATGTATGACTGAGGCCTAATATGAGTCTGCCCTGGGGTAGAGCTCTAGGTCCTATGGCAATAAAGATGATAAATGCTAAAAAATATGAGGACCCACTTGACAAAAGTCCCTTAGCAAGTCCTAGTCCAGTGTGAAGAGCTAGGGCTAGCTACCTGAATCTAGTACATTAGAGCATAGATTTATATCTGCTATAGAGACTGGTGCACAGGCCCTATACTCCAACTGTTTTACAGCATCTAAATGTACAGCACTGGGTTTAGCACCTTTTTGTATTGGTTGTTCTAGCTTCTTTTTAATTTCCTTATTGCCAAGATTGCATATCTTTCCATAGATTCAGAAAGCCACCATAGCAATAGATCAGCTACAAGGCCGCTTACCAGAAAGCTCAGTGGAAAAAGCATCCAAGGCAGAGCTTCTGGAACTCCTGGATTACCACAGTAGTTTCCTTCTGGAGGTAGAGCACCAGCTGTCATCTTTGGGCCTGCTCAAACAGCATGCTGTCAGCATGCTTCAGGATGTGGAAATAAAGCCTCTGTCTCAGGAGGAGCTACCAGTTATGCAAGAAATCAAAGCGATGCAAGATCGATGCCACAAGTAAGGCAATATTTTAAAGGATCCACTAGAAAAATGGTACCTTACAATTCAGTAATAAGAGTTCACATATCGTTTTTGTTTTCATTAACAATTACCATGCTTAAGATAAAAATTAGTTAATGTATTTAAAATAAGCATCAGTTTATAATTAATTTTGGAATACGTACGTTATCTTTACTATTAAATATTTTTTGACAAAGCAATGTTTTTAGACAATGCTTAATTCTTCACAAATAGTTACTGCTTCTTTGTTTCTGAAGTATGCAACAGAAAGTGAAAAAAGGTGTGAAGATGGTGAAACAGGAGCTGAAGGAGCGTGAGGAGGTTGAATCAGATATTAATATTGTGAAGTCCTGGATCCAGGAAACAAAAGAATATTTATTAAGCCCTGATGTAGAAGTGGATACTCAACTTCAGGAGTTACAGGTATATCAAATCTGTCAATTTCTAAATTACAATATTTATCTTTGTTGTAATCTGCTAATGGGTGTTAAACCACGAATTCAAACTAGACAACATTAATTAGATTTTGAGTAAGCCACTAGAAAAATGCATAAAGCATGAAGTAGCTGATGAGCTATAATACCTAATTTTAAAGATATTTATGATATATTTAAGTATTTTCATTTATTCAGTTTTATGTGCTAGCATATTGTTCAGTAATTTTTCTCCTCTCATCTAAAATATGGGGGAAATACAGAATGGGAATGGAGAGAATATGATGTTTCTTTTCTATCTCAGCAGTTTGGGATGGGGAGGGAAGCAACAAAACTAAATAAACTCTTTTCACAGGAGGTGCTGAAAATTGTTATTTTCTATATACATGTGGTCACACAGGAACGGACAACTGGACAGACAGTCATAAATGAGAATACAGGGAATCCCAAGATACAACTGTTTTAATGAACCATTTAAAAAAATTGAAAGTAATTAGCTTTGTTGCAAGCTGTGTGTAACGTCTGCATTTGCTAAGTTTACACAGAAGTGTTTTTTCCCATTGTTCTTAATGATACTGTTTTTCTGTCATTAGTCTCTCCTTGGTGAAGTAACTACTCATCGTCAGGCTGTTGAAAAACTGGCTGAACAACAACAGAATAAGTACTTGGGGCTTTATACCATTTTGCCTTCTGAACTCTCTCTTCATTTAGCAGAAGTTGGGCTGGCCCTTGTAACTGTACAAGATCAGGTAAAGCATAGTAGACAAATGTATTACAGCTCCATAGCCCTTCTTTATAACTAAGTGGAATACAGTAACCAAGTGTAGTCAAACTATGACAAGGTAGCGTCGTGGTTAAACTCCAGCTGGGAACTAGGACCACACAGCTGCTCACTCACTCTCCCCAGCTGGGATCGGGGAGAGAATCAGAAGAGTAAAAGTGAAGAAAAACTTGTAGGTTGAGATAAAGACGGTTTGATAGGTAAAGCAAAAGCCGCACAAGCAAGCAAGCAGAACAAAACAAGAATTAATTCACTACTTCCCATCAGCAGGCAGGTGTTCAGCCATCTCCAGGAAAGCAGGGCTCTATCACGCATAAAATTACTTGGGAAGACAATGCCATAAATCAGAATGTCCCTTCACTTCCTTATTCTTCCCCCAGCTTGATATGCTGAGCACGACGTCATATGGCATGGAACGTCCCTTTGGTCAGTTGGGGTCAGCTGTCCCAGCTGTGTCCCCTCCCAGCTTCTTGTGCAACCCCAACCCATTTGCTGACAGGGCGGTGTGAGGAGCAGAAAAGGGCTTGATTGTTTAGCAACACATGAAAACGTCAGTGCGCTATCAACATCGCTTTCATCCCAAATCTAACACATAGCAGTATACCAGCTGCTAGTAAGAAAATTAACGCTATCCTGGTTGAAACCATGACAAGTAGCTTCATTACCTTCTTCCTTTGAATTAAAATTAGTTAAATGAAAGTTAATTTCCTTTCAGGAGGAGAGATTTCTGGTTACTGACTTTAATTCTTGTTGTTGACAGATTCAAACCAAAGAAAGAGAAACTCAGCAGATCAAAACATTGAATCAAGAGTTTGGTCAGAAAATCCAGGGGATAGCAAATGAACTAAATGCCATTCTTTCCAAACTGAAAAAGAAAACAAATGATATAGTACAAGCTAAAGTTGAACAAAAGGTAAGGCATGGCTTCCCTTATTTGGTTATAACATGAATTCTTCTGAATTGGGACGTTCACTTCATACCAACATTGTATTTGGGAGACCTGCTGTCCTGGTTCCGGCAGGGATGGGGTTAATCTCCCCAGGAGCCGGCAGGGGGCAGGTATTCCATCCCACGTGACCCATGCCCGGGCTATAAGAGGCGCTAGCCGGGGCGAGGAGAGGAGTCGCCACTCGGGGGTGGGCTGCGGCGGTGCGGGTCCGGTCGGTGCGCTTCGCGGCGGTACTGTAATCGCGTTTTCGTCTTTTCCTTTTGCTGTTCTGTTAAATTGCACTCTTTTAACCCACGAGTTTGGCCCTGTCATTTTCTTTTTCCACGACTGTGGGAGTTGTGCGAGCGGCTGCGTGGTTCTTTGTTGCTGGCTGAGGCCAAACCACGACACCTGCATGATACATTTTTTTAATGTAGTTCAACAGAGGAATGGACAGAAATAAAGGTTGACTGATGAGATTTCTTAATTACATTCTTTGCAAAGTAGCCATACAGGGACTTGAGTGAGTAACACAACTTGGAGGAAATAACTGAGAGTAAAAGCAAGTCAGGTGGACAAAGTTATGCTGTTCCCTCTAAATAATGAGTATGAATCCAATCTGAGAAAACCTAAGAGGCTCCCAAACTGCTCCTTGTCCCAGTCTGTACTGAAAAGACCGTTCTTTACAGTACACCTTTGCTTGCGATAAATAAAATTTTACTCATATCATTTGGAGGAATAATGATGTAAAGTACTAGTGGTGCGGTTTAGGGTAATGCAAAGGACTCTTGATTCCTTTTTGTAGGTTTTCTTCATCTTAGGTATGTACTACACATAAAATATCTGTACTTAGGTGTAATGGCCAAGTTAGGATTATCATGAGAATAGGGGATTTTGGCGGGGATAGACGGGGCAGAGGTTACTTGAGGGTGTTTTTTTGTTTGGTTGGTTGGTTTGATTTGTTTTTTAACTAGTCAAAGATAAACTTGACTAAGTTGCTGTCTGAAAGTAAGCAAAGCATATCAAATAATAGGAGATTTGGCATGTTTGGTATGTCAAAAATTACCTGTTTATTTTCATGAGTTGCTTTTAACATGCTCCAAAGTACAATTCGCTTTGCAGGAGGTATTACTGAAATAAATTCCTTTAAAATTGGTGTATCTCCTTGATCCCAGTAATTACGGAGTAAGCCAGTAAAGTGTGCTTCCCCACATTCCATAGACGAAAACTCTTACCGGAGATTTAATAAACTTCCCTCAACTGCATTTATGTCAGCACTCAGCTGGTACTCCTGAGATTGGATTGGCTTTGATTACAGCAGTAAATATTATTATGTTAACATTGAAACTGTGAAAAATAAAATAAAAAATTGTTTTAAATCCGTGTGACCCAAGTGGATCCTTCCTTCACTTTTAAGCAGCATATAAATTCTGCATCATTTCTATAGTAGAGACATTTATTTATGCCTGCATGAAATATGCGTGTCTTTGTATTCAGATGAGTAGTTCAACATCTGTTTTTATGTCTACATGTAGATGGTTATGTCACTAAGTCATGTTACTGTTCATGGAATAATATTTGTTTATCATAACAGTTGATCATAACACTCTAAAGTGTGTCTGCCAGGACAGCCCTAACCTGAAGAGCTTGAAGTACCTTTCTGAAGCACCTGTAGCTAGAGCAGTGTTCTGAATCAATTTTTGTCGGCTGATTGCAATTTATATTTCTAAAGGTAGTTGTAAGGGGGCTAGAGAGTTTGATGAGACTTATTTTATTTATATTACAAAACCAAATAATTGTTAACACCATAGATATAAAAATAAAATACAAAAAAAAAAACAACCAACAAAACAGTTACTCCCTCGCACAGAAACTGAAGCCCATAACTGTATTATCAATCTATGAGAAACACAGGAAACCTTTTAGGTTTCCGTTTTAAACTTTTCAGAAACTTTGTAACTATGGTAAGAAATATTGATTTTAAAATATGTTTCTATTGAAATAGGCATCCAGACTGCTCCTGTGTCAACATCAAGCTATGAAGACTCAAGTTTCAAATGAAAATAAGTTGTTTTTTTTTCTGATGCATTAATGAGTAATTACATATTTCTGAGTTTGTAAGGGTATATTTTAAGACAGCAACAAGACAAAACCCCTTTCCAATATATAAAAATCCTTGTCATGGCAATGTGTGCTATTAATTTCAAAAACAAACACGGAAAGATGGCCAGGAACAGTTAATGTCACTCTGAAGTGACTCAGTCTTTTGCTATGGTAGGGAAAATGGTTATCCATTTCAGCCAGGAAGTCAGAGAAGAAAGAGTAATGGCATACGTTTTGGAGATGACCAAACATCCTGCTGTTCTGCCTTCCTGCTTAGACAAACATTGTTGGTTTCAAGCCAGAATAAAAATGGAACAAACTATGGAGACTTTGGACAGGGTATAAAAGTTGCAAGTTGGACTAGAAATAATCAACCAGAAAGCTAACACTTCCTGAATCACTGATTTTCTTGTTTTTCTGTCTAGATGCTTGGTGAAGAGTTGGACAGCTGCAATATAAAGCTGTTGGAATTAGATGCATCAGTCCAGGACTTTGCAGAGCAGAACGTACCGCTGGCGAAGCAGCTGGCTAACAGGATAGGGAAACTCACTGCATTGCACCAACAGACCGTGCAGCAGGCTGAGTACAGAGCAGCCAAGCTCAGTCAGGTATGATCTCAAATCCTTTCTGCTGTTCCCTTTCAGAAGCAGAAGGAGCATGCAAACTTCTCATTTATTTTCCTGTAGTTATGCAAGAAGGGGCATTCCTTGTCACATCTGCCTATTATGAGTCAGGGCTTGTATCACACCCTAAAGAGAGGCACAGATGGGTCAGATCAGGAGAGTGGAATAATTCTGTGATGCTGCTTTAACATCCTCTTCCTTGAATCATCTGGTGGTTGTTTCCTCTTGTGCTTTGAAAAGATTATGGACCTTCCCACAAACAGTAGCGTGCCAGGAAATACTGTCTCATTGTACTTTTCAGGGCCTCTGACTTATCACTGTTACCTATATTTGCAGCATTAAAAAAGAAAAAAAAAAAGTACTCTTTTGCTCTAGTCACAATCTGTAGAGGGCGAATATAATTTGTAGATTAAATAGAAAAGCCTAGATACAACGGCCCTGGTAATGCATAATGTTTATGCAACACTTCAGCCTTCATAAAGATGCTTCCCTTGTGGCTCAAAGTCCCTGAAACTCTTTCTTATTTATCTTTTGGTAATTGTTGTTATCCAAAAAAGTCTCGCTAAAAGCAAAGAAATGGATTTTCTATAGTTCAATACCCTGATAAATTATGAGTTGTCATTTCTGCATGCATAAGGAAGCTTCTGTAAGGCGCAAAAAAGATAAATATTTCGTGATTCTCTTTTCAGTTTCCTCTAAAATATTGTTTTTAAAAAGAGATAGCAAATTACTATCAAAGTAAGAGTCAAAGGTACTTGGTGAAGGGATTTAACTATTAGGATATTTTTTATCAGCACCAAGAACTCCCCTTCCTATCATGAAAAATGATAGGTAAGGCAAACTTTGATCTATCCTTCATACATGACAAATGTATAAAAATCAGTGAAATTATTCTGGCTAAGTGAGAAGAAAATTTGAACTAAAGAACACTTTGTTAATCACAAAGCGGAGCTTTTGTCCTCTATTTTGCAGTAAGTGCAACTTTTCTTTTTTTGAAATATGACAGGCTGAGTGAATAGAGCAGGTTTAAGATAAAGGTGATTCTGGGGATGACATGGAAAGAGTCAAAGAAAAGTAAGAAATTGCATAGGAGAGGCTTGCAGTGAGCCACAAACTGAGCAAGAAGGTATTTTGGAACTTAGGTGTGAGGCTGAATATGTGCAGGAAGTGTACCCTCTAGGGATATATTTGAGCATCTGCACTCTCCCAGTGTGACCTACATTCTTGTAGTACCTTTTTTCCCCTGAAATAAATATGCTTGTTACTGGAAGCAGACCTATTTTAACTCCATAAATACAGAAGTAATTAAATTATTTTCAACAGTAAGATAAAGTTGTTAAAACGATCCCCAAGTTAAAAACAGTAAATGAAGTAAAAGTAAATTTATCTTTCTATAAGAACTGTACAGAATTACATCTTAGGCTTAAGTAAGTGGATTTGTCTTTTATATCCAGGCTGCTTCACACTTGGAAGAATACAATGAGATGCTGGAATTCATACTGAAATGGATCGAGAAAGCAAATATCCTAGTGCACGGTAGTATAACATGGAATTCTTCCTCTCAGCTTCGTGATCAGTTTAAAGCCTACCAGGTGATTATATGAGCTACGAAATTTAAAGGGCAGTGTATAAAAGAAGTTATTTTTTGAGCAGTGAAGTTTTATTTCCTACACTTCTTTGCTTACTTTCCTTGAGGAAAAAAGTCTTAAAAAACCTAGATTTCTTCAATTGTTCCCCCAAATCTTAAAAATTATTAATTTGTTTTGAAGACTGAAATTAAGATATATTGTTGAATAAAACTATGTGATTCAAAGTTGATCTCTGTGTTTACTCAAGTACATTGACTTCATAGCTGCTTTTGATTGAACAGTGTGTCTATACACTGTGATTCTGTCACACTGAGTACCTGATTGCAGTTAATATTCCTCTAGTTAACCAAACACAATTTTCAGGCTTGGTTGTTGGTTGAGATTTTTTTTGTTTGTTTGTTTGTTGTGGTTTTTTTTCCTCCTCTCTGCTAAATTGGAATAGCCTTTGTTCTTATCTGAGTTTCACCCCAAATGTTCTCAGACTGATACCCAATGGATGAGTTTATTCCAGTCGCTTCCTGAGCACCTCGCATCAGAGTGTTTTGCTGTCCCTGTGACAGTGCAATTTGTTCTCTGTGTGTCTGTGTGTGAAATGTGTAAGTGTGGAATCAGGGGAGCAGTTTGATAAGGTTCAAGCTTGCCCACTCTTACATGACCACGTGGAACAAGTCAAAGCTTCGTAAGATGATCACATCTCATTAATGCCAAAATAAGAATGCATTAATTATGGTTTATATATATGCATTAGTTAATTGTCAGTTGCATTCACTTACAGAGGGATCGTAGTATGCCACACTTTCTTATCCTGAAGAGGAACCTCCAGGCAACTCTTCCTGAGCATAGCTGGGAGTTAGCATTTCTGGTTTGATTTTGCTGTGGCTTTTTCCCTGCTTCAAAAGTTGATGAGGATACGGGCTTTACCAGTGCCATCCCACAGAACACTTTGGTAGCCATTTTTTAGGCAGCATTAATGATTACTGCGCTGCTATGACACTGCACCTAAGTGCTTTCCACTGCTTCTATTAGGTACAGCAGGCTTCCAGAACAAATCCTATCCATAGATTGGGTATATTATATTTTTACAGGCAAGTGCATATAGCAAAACACTAAAAGAAATGTTTGTAAGTACAGCTGCTGAAGCTTCTTGACTTACTGTTTTGTTTCACAGTCTCCCTAAGATGAAGCACTTCAGCACACACTCAGAATTAAGCATATTGCCTAAGCCTTACAGGAAATCAGTGGAACTTAATCATATGCTTACAGATGTGTACAAATTGAGGAATTTGCAGAACAGGAATATACTTATACACAGAAATGTTTAATCTGAAGCTCAACTCTGGCATTCAGTTTGTTCATATCTTCATCTAGACTATGCTTGATGAGTCCGGAGAGATTCATGGTGATCTTGAGGCCATGAGTGAAAGGATTGAGTATCTGGCAAGCGTATACTGTACTGAAGGAATGTCACAGCAAGTGCTGGAACTGGGGCGGCGAACAGAGGAATTACAGCAAGTTATCAAAGTGCGGCTACCAAATCTCCAAGATGCTGCCAAGGTATATGAAAGCAGTTTTTCTAATGCTAGCTGACAGCTATAGGGTGGTGCATGCATCATGTTTTTGAGACTATTAGCCGGACAGAGTATCTGTGGTCTATAAAGGGCATGGCTGTGTTGTCTAAAGCTAGATGTCTTGCGCCATTTGAGATACTGCCTTCAGGTGCTGTTCCAGATGGGGACAAGATTCCTGCAGGTCCTGTCATATCTGCCCATTCTGGATGGATGTATTGGGGATTATGGTGTGTCTCAAATGGCACTGAGAACTATGTTTAGACACTTGAAAAGTGTCTGTGTTGGGACTTATATTGTGCCATTTCCTTAATTTTTCTCTTTCAGTATCTAAAGCCTGCTATCTATTAATTTACATCAATACTGGACCAGACCAGGATTCCATAATGTGAGAACTACCGCTACAAGGGAGTGCAGTGAAAATAATTAACGTGCTTTTTCATGTCCCCGACATTTCTGTGCAGCTCTTCCTTACCAGTTTATTGTTAACGTAAATACGTGTTACACCTATGTGATGCATGGTAAACTGGTGCAAGACACAGGGAGAAGCACAGAAGTATTTTCTACTTGCTCTTACCTTCAGGGCAAGAAGTTTTAACCTTTTTCTTCTTTAAAATTGATACAATATTTCAGGAAAAAATTACTATTGGAATGGGATAATTAGTATATTTATAGGGGTTCTTCTGCTGTCACCTCCTACTGTTACACACTACTAAATAGGAAAATTCCTAAAGGTAACGAAGAGAATAGGCTATCATCATTTGTTAAGACAATTGCAGCTAAGGTTAAAAATGGTCCTTCTCCATATTTGGCTCTTATTTCACAATATTTATAAGACATAGCAGAAATGCTACAGCTGCAGCAGCTGTAACAGTGTAATAGAGAGGTTTTGAAGACTTCTTTCTATTACAAAAGCACAAATCAGTAAACCACAATGTTGAGCTGAAGGCTTTTACTATTTTTTTTTCTTTCATTTTTCATGGAACAAACCAGAGATTTGCGTACAAGTAAGCACAGTAGAAGTGAAACTTACTAGCTTCAGTTCTCACAGAAGTATTGGAACAATTGAATAAACTATTTGTAAATTCTTATAAGAAAATGTGGAGAAGAATAGAAGCCAATGTAGACTTATGAAGAAAGAAAATCGTATCAAAAGTGTCCAATTTAATGTGAAAGTAATAGGTAGATTTGTAGATAAATGTACAATATATCATATATCTTGAGTCTAATAATGTTTCACGTGATATTGTTATTAACAAAGTTAATAAGCTCATCTAGTTGAAAATAAAATAAGTAGGTGTAAAGCTGGCTAGAAAACTCACCTGGTAGGTAGTTGTCAATGGTTCACAGCCCAAAAGGAGGGATATATCAAGTAGGATTTTGCAGGGTTCTCCCTTGGGTCTGGTTCTGTTCAGTATTTTCATTAATGAATTGGATGGTGGTTTAGAGATCATGGCTTTTGGGATGCTTAGACAACACCAAATGTACAGTGACTGCCTGAAAAAAAAACCTTAGGCTGCTATTCAATGGGGACAGGGACAAACTGTTATATTTAGACAGGAAGAACCAAGCATGTGTGCAGCTGAAGTAGGAATTACTGGCTCAACGCACCCTGTTGAAAGTTCTTAAGTTGAATAATCGGGATCATGTCAAAATGAGTGAACAATGTCACATCATTGTAAAAAAGCCAAACACCACGCAGAAAATTAAGTATGTAATTGTAAGGTATGTGAAGTAGTCTTTTTGCTCTACATATTGGTCACTAGCAAGGTTTCAGCTATGTCCAGTTTTCCACTTGAAGAAAGAAATGGACCAACTGGAGAAAGAACAGAGGATAGTGATGATTGTGATATGCGTATAAATTTGTAGAAAAGATGCATGAAGAAGGATTATCCTAACATATGATGTATTCAGAGAGAAGAAACATATTTTGTTCTTCAGGTCAAGGGATAGTAAGTAGAAGATTGAAATTGCAACAAAAGATAACTTTGTGTCAGACCCTCAGAAAAAACTTTCTACAAAAAGAGTACTGAAACATCAGAATATCTTGTCTGTAGATGTAAGTGGGACTCCACTGCTAGTGGTCTTTAAGAACAGTCTGTAGATAAGACAGTTATGTCCTTTGTTATTATGGAAGATGACTAGAGGACACCTTGAGTTCCTTTCTAGGCCTTGAACTTTATGAAATTAGCTTTATAAAGCGCATGCTGTATTAGAAATACAGAAAGTACTTAAAATAATAGCTCTGACTTTAAGACCTCTTTTTCAAGACTGTAATATGACTGGTATTTTTATCCAATACGTTCAATATTCAAAATTCATTGTTAAAACCATGAATTAGTTTTGGCACTGCATATAGGAGACGTAGCTACAAAATCCAGACAGATATATTTATAGTGATTTTTTTCCTTTTTTTTTTTTTTTTTTTCAAATTATCCCTGAAGCAAATGTGTTGTGTTACAGGACATGAAGAAATTTGAAGTTGAGCTGAGAGCCCTGCAGGCCGCTCTGGAGCAAGCCCAAGCCACACTGACGTCTCCAGAGCTCGGGCATTTGAGCTTGAAAGAGCAACTTTCTCACAGACAGGTAAAAGGCCAGGATCTCAAAGTTAGCACTTGAGTAGTGTGAGCCTACACAAAGAAAAATGAATGTCGGTGAGAGAGATTGAGGTGTTTCTTAGGTGGGTCATTGTCTCAGAGTCTAGCCCCAAATTACTACCAACGGAGTAAGGGATGGAATGGGAAAAGTCATTCCCTCAAAGGGAATTGTTGAAGTATAATCCTTGATGAGCCTGTTCTTAGGTTGATGCAATTCTGAGAAACGTGAATCCAATCCAAGTTTAATCCATACTACTAACAATAATCAAGATCAGTTCTTATCCAGTGCTTTTCATCAACAGGTTCTTAAAGTACTTCAAAAGGAAGTCTAGATTGTTATCACTATTTTACAGATAGAGATGCAATGAGATGGTGTTTTGCTAGCTCCCCAAATAATCAACTGGAAAGCTAAGAGAAAATTCAGTTTTCCTTAAGCCCGGTTATGGTTTTGTATGTTTAGTTGAATTATCTCCGTAAGATAGTACTGCTTTCTGTATTGCACTTGGCCTACTATAGAGTTTTTCAATTTATTATTTTTGGTCTAAGTCTCATGACAAGAAAAATAACCCAAGTTATAGCTCTCTGAGGTGCTTAAGAAATATTTCTTACTGCAATCTAATGGAGAGATTTAACTGTCCTAGTCTGCTAGTGAAAACTAAATGTCAACAGATCCACTTTAAGATTTGCAGAGCTTTCACTTTTGGTTAAAATATGCAGTCTTTATTCTAGGGACTTGCAGCCAAATTTCAGAATGTGGCATTGAAGAGTGTAAGTGAAACACCTCACCCACTGTAAGAGTAAAGGAATATGGACATTACACTGTTTATGTGTATTCTTTGTCCTGGCTCTGGTAGGTCTCACAGTATGACTTTCTTTTGCACAGAAAGGGGCTGTAAGCCCCTGCCCACCTATTTCACCAGGCCAGAGAGGGGGTCTTGGAGAGCGCCTGGCTGGCATGCAGCCCCCAGAGTACCTCTGGGTGCCACCTGCAGGGTAAAGACACCCTCTGCCAGCAGTATGGAGCCTGCCGAGGGGCGGCCTCGCCAGTGATGTCCAAGGAATAGGTCATTATAACAGATCTCTGGTTAGATAATCCACCATATGTCATGAAGGCACAGAAATAAAGAGCAAACCACGGTCCTCTGATCAGTATGCACTCCAGACCCACTTAGCTATCTTTCTGCATAGGGTATAGGAGAAGGGAGGTGACTGTGTGCCACATACACATCGTCTAACTGATTTATATCTTTTAAACTTAAAATCTTTTTCTAATGTGCTAAGGCCCTTTTTGTCAACTTTGCCTTTTCCTTTTTTTTTTTTCTTTTTTCTTTTTCTATCTGTGAATACATTAAACTCCCCAGTGAAGGTAAAAAGGATGCTGATCAAAACTATTCTCCAGTCATTGCACTTAGACCCTTCTCATGCATATGAACAGGCAGCTTGAATGAACATTGTGAAAAGAATAGAGACTATTAACAAAGGCATATAGCACGTGATTATTCAAAGGAGAAGATCTCCGTGTAGCTGTGTTTCTTTCTGTTTGATTGCCTTTTGAATTTTGAGCAACATTTTCAGACATGGTTCTATTTTCAAAGGAAGGTTGTGAACACAACGGGATTCATTTGCTGGTTTGAAAATGTGCTTCTGTGTCTTAGTGGGGAGTTCCACTTGGATTTTAACATTAAAATATGTGTATACATAAATGACTCCTATGCTGCTTTGATTTGTGGATTTTGTACAGATATTTTTTTCAAATAGGTTAACGGAAATATTTTTGTACTTAGACACTTAAAAATAGGTACTACCGTGCTTTTTTATTAATTATTTTTATTCCTGTTAAATGGGAATTTTGCTTAATTAGTATTTAAAAGAATACTCATTTTAGAATGAGCTACTCCAGACAAAGGGTGTCCTGCTTATATTCAATATAGAAAACAGATAATCAGATTTGTTTGGTTTAGTGCTTGAACTCATCGTTATTTTTCTTTTGCTGCGTGAAATGCTCTGGGAGTTCTGCAGAACTGGCTTATTGTGGCACTGACTTTGTTTCTAGCATCTGTTGTCTGAAATGGAGTCACTGAAGCCAAAAGTTCACGCAGTACAAGTCTGTCAGAGCGCCCTGAGGATTCCTGAGGAGGTGGTCACCAGCCTGCCAATGTGCCACAGCGCCCTTCGGCTCCAGGAGGAGGCCAGCCGCCTGCAGCACACCGCCATTCAGCAGTGCAACATCATGCAGGCAAGTGCGGCTCCATCCCATAAACTACTCTGAGTAACTTGAACAGTGCCCTGCAAGTGGTGATGAAAACAGAGGCTTTCGTATCTCTGTGCACTCCTTTTTTCCTTGTAGTACTACGAGAAAGTTCCCCACTGAGTTTTAGTCATTTCAGACTCCGTGTTTTTTGGGGTTTTAACATTCGCGATCGTGTTATTTGTTGATATACTCATCAGACTCTCATCTCTGTTGTCTCCTTGATCTTGCTTTGGTTTTTTGTAATGCTGATAGGATTAACTAGATGAATAGCTAACATACAGTTGTATGCAGGTTAATTTTATAATATATACAATCCGTTAATGAAAGTAATATATCTTTATAACTTCAATGGCTTATAGTGATTGCATAAAAACTATTGAGTTAATTAAATAGCTTTCTAGGCTAAAAGTAATTCATTATTTTTCTTTTTATTTAATATTTGTATATATTTCCTTTCTGATTTTGGAGTCATTCAGCATTTATTAAATTTGTATTTTCAAGTTTTGCTAAATACAAGAAAACTAGAGTTTGTTTGATTGTTTGAATTCATACCTAAACATGTTAAAGATTTTTCCAAAGAAGAAGAGAATAAGCTTTTCTTTCCTGCTATTTAGTGACAGAAAAATACAGTGATGTAGGGTACAACTACAGAGCTGCAAGTTAGATAACGGAAGAGACTTTGGTCATTAAGGATACTTAATGATACTTAAGTACAAAGAAGGATACAATGTCACACTAAAAAGTTTCAAAGACACTTTAGACAAACTGGTGGTGAATCTGTGATGGAAAGAACTGATACCAGACTGGTAGCGTAATGATCTGGATCAATCTTCATAATCCTCTCCCAGTTGTATTTTCTGTAAAATCTAACTTTTTCATTCAGTCTTTCCACTTCATAAATGGAGACTTGAAGTGAAAAAGCAGATGAAAATGCTTTATGGTAAAACCATGAGACTAGACAATGCTGTCTTTTTGGTGGATATGTTTAGTGCAGATACGTGTTGGAAGCAGAAGTTCTAGCTCCTTATGTTGGGTACCTAAAACATCATGTTATATGAACTTTTTTTTTTGGAAATAGTTGAACAAAGAAACCATTGAATTCACTGCAGTTCACAGTATATCTGAATGGACTTTTTCCTGACTATATTACTGCTTTGCTTATCCAGATGCAAGTGCCAGACAGATGTAAGCTTGCTCCACTTCAGAAGGCAGATCAGTCATGGTTGGACTACTTAAATATTAATTTTCCTGTAGACACTCAATTTTTTTTTCCCCCTCTCTAGGAAGCAGTGGTTCAGTACGAGCAATACGAGCAAGAAATGAAACACTTACAACAAATGATAGAGGGTGCCCATCGTGAGATCCAAGACAAGCCAATAGCAACCGGCAACATCCAGGAACTCCAGGTCCAGATTTCACGTCATGAGGTGGGAGAGCCAAAATGCAACAACATGGGCTCAATGGCAGCTCATTGGCCCAAAAATCTTTTCATAAACAACAGTCATAAATTAGCTGAGTAGCTTTTCAGGCTTACTGAAGGCTAGTTGAGCAGATAGACTAAATAACAGATAGAAAACTCATGCTATTGGTAGAGTGTGGAGTATTCACTTGTTTATTCAGTTAGATGTGTCCTAATCTCCAGGGAACATTGTGACAAATGAAAGCATTGCGTAGTTAAGGGGCAGTTAACATAGGTACTTGATTGAGGAGCATCCCAGAAGTCAATGTTAAACAGTTAGTCAGGTGATCTCTGCTAATTCAGCGATCCTTATAGAATCATAACCATAGAATGGTTAGAGTTGGAAGGGACCTTAAAGATCATCCTGTTCCAACCACTCTGCCGTGGGCACGGACACCTGTCACTAGACCAGGTTGCTCAAAGCCCTATCCAGCCTGGTCTTGAACACTTCCTAGGATGGAGCATCCACAACTTCTCTGGGCAGCCTCTTCCAGTGCCTCAGCACTCTCACAGTAAAGAATTTCTTCCTAATATCTAATCTAAATCTACCCTCTTTCAGTTTAAAACTGTTACCCCTCGTCCTATCGCTATACTCCCTGATAGAGTCCCTCCCCATCTTTCCTGTAGGCCCCCTTTAGGTACTGGAGGGCCACTATAAGGTCTTCCTGGAGCCTTCTTTTCTCCAGGCTGAACAGTCCCAACTCTCTCAGCCTGTCTGCATAGGAGAGGTGCCCAGCCATCTCATCATCTTCGTGGCCCTCCTCTGGACCCACTCCAACAGGCCCACGTCCTTCTTATGTTGGGGGCTCCAGAGCTGGATGCAGTGTTCCAGGTGGGGTCTCACAAGAGCGGCGTAGAGGGGCAGAATCACTTCCCTCATCCTGCTGGCCACGCTTCTTTTGATGCAGCCCAGGATACAGTTGGTCTTCTGGGCTGCAAGCGCACATTGCCGGCTCATGTTGAGCTTCTCAGCAACGAACATCCCCAAGTCCTTCTCCTCAGGGCTGTTCTCAATCCATTCTCTGCCCAGCGTGCATTTGTGTTTGGGATTGCCCCAACCCAGGTGCAGGACCTCGCACTTGGCTGCCTTGAATTTCACAAGGTTTGCGCAGGCCCACCTCTCCAGCCTGTCCAAGTCCCTCTGGATGGCATCCCTTCCCTTCAGTGTGTCAACTGCACCACACAGCTTGGTGTCATCAGCAAACTTGCTGAGGGTGCACTCAATCCCAATGTCCATGTTACCAACAAAGACGTTAAAGAGAACTGATCCCAGTACCAACCCCTGAGGAAAACCACTCGTCACTGATTGCCATTTGCACATATCTCTTAAAGTACTTACTCATTTCTATCCCAGTAAAATTCCGTAAAAGAACACCAAGGGACTTGAATCACATGAAAACCACAGTAGATTTGGAGGAAAACTCTGCAAGGTTCACTCCAAAGGCTCCTTTCAACGTTGTTGTTGGGAAGGGTTTTGTCCTCTGGAGTTACAGGTCCAGCCCTCAAACTCATTGATCTTCAGCCCTCAAATGAGTTGGGATCGTCTCTGTGAAGTCTTCTGTCTGTGCTGGCATGGGAGGTCCTGAGCGCCTTTCCCCTTCCCCTCTCTGCTGTGTAGTTGTTGGGGTAGAAAATGCACCATGGAACTCAGTATGTCACTTTTGGCACCAGATGGCACCATTTCTTTACCTTTGAATTAAAAGCTGTCTGCAATTATGTACTATAACCTAATGTTATATGTGTTGCTCATTTTCTATCCAGTTGTTGCAAAAGTTATTTAGTTTAAATGCAGAGCAGTTTGCTTAAACAAACATTTTTATTTTTTTTTTTAATGCTGAATTAAAAATGCTACTATTCTCTATTCAAATGTTCTGGAACAGCAAATGCAGGATATCAGTGACAGGGTAATATTGCTGGAGGAAGGAATTAAAAATGGGGCAGCTTGAAGTTTCATCTGCATTTGAACAAGTTTGGAAGCTGAAGGTCTGGAGGAAGACAGCAGCTTTACTCTATTGCACATTCTGGGATCAACCAGAGGGGACAGGTTTCATGCTTGCAAGCTTTCCATGTTCAGGGGTAAGGAGTTTTGAAAAGCTGAGAGATACAGATTTTTGGCTCATATTTTCTCTGCTAAATACCTGTGGAAAAGTGTAGCATAAAGAGGATATACTGAACCCTATGTTATTATATCACTTCAAAAGGCAAGTCTTTTATGTGTGTTATTATTTTAAGAAAACATCAGTTACCAGATTCCCTGATGAAGCCTGCATGAGCAAGAACTTAAAGGGACATTTTTAGTAGCTATATTTAGAATTAAAATAAGAGGAAGAAAATAAAAGGAAAGTACACCCTGATTTGTAGGAAGCTTGTATTACTACGTGTGTATGTAACTAGTTACGCTCTAGAACTATGTTTTCTGAACCGTGTTTCTTTAGACTTTCAGATAAGAATGTGGGCAAGTATCTCCATACTTATGAATTATTTTAATGGATAATACAGTTCCTCATAGGACACTGCTATTATAAGCTGCCTTTTTTTTTTTCCCAATCACATTTTTGCCTCCTTTTCCTTTTCTTTGCTTGCAGTTGAGAGGATGTTAGATACCCAGTGCATTGGACATTAATGTCACAAATGTTATTGCATCTCATTAATATTGATGGCATTTTGTGAGTATATGGAATGACAATAATTTCCCACTGAGCCCCAGAGATGTCATTCATTGAGCATTAGTGAATGACTGGTACCTGCCAAACAGAGCAGATAACTATTCCAGCTGCTAGACATTGATTTGGTTGTGGTTTGGTTTTTGATTGATTTAGTTGATGTTTTATACTCAAGACTTTGCCTAGTCTCCAGGGTAAGCTTTGGAGCTCCAAAACAGCTCCTTTTGTTGCTAACATGACAGACAGTGACCAAGTAGCTTTGAAACCCAGGCAGTAAAGTGTCATCCTCAGTCTTTATGCTGCTTCCATGTCTAGCTCTGTGTTTCTCACTATGACTGCTCTGATTTTGAGGAAGCAGTTCCCTGAAAATGTTATACAGCCAAAAAAAAAAAAAAATCCCTTTTTACCAGCCTGGAGCAGTAATCTTATTTACTTTAAAAAAAATATTGCTATTATTTACTGTTCTACCTACTAGTTCATGCAACTTCTGTTGCTATGTTTCCATGAAACCTTGTGTTTGTTGAAGAAACAAAAGCAGATATAAAAATAAAGCAGAAATATATATTTAAGTGAATAATCACTGATTTAGCAGGCAAACTTATAGAAATGTTTTCACTTTCTAGGTCAAAATTCTGTCATGATACTGAGCCTCTAGGGAGACAGGAACAATAGCTTTGGCAGAAATGTGAAAATCTTCCACCATGTTTTGTTTTAAGTATATTAATTGAAATCTTTGAAACTGGATACTGAACTGGGCAGCAGTACAGGGTAGGAGAAAAGACAAGTTAGTTTCTAAGGCTATTCATCTCCATCTTTCTTCTCTGACTAAACTCAAACTTGTGATGGTGTTTGGTGATGCAGATAGACCATTTCATAGCCGTAAAACCCAATATTTTAAAATACCCTCTGCTTTAGGCCAGATTCTTTTTAAAGAAAGTTTAGTACTGTGTGCAGCTCAGCTTTTAATTCTGATCATTGACACTAAACCAAAACAAGATTAAAATAGAGCTTATCCAAACGCTGGCAAAAAGTGATCCAGTCAGCATTTGATCTTATTGTGGGACTGATTGTTCATTTCATATTTGATCTTGTTAGACCCTGTGAGTTGCTGTCTGAACAATTCATTCTTTCTGGTGAGAGCTGAATGGGGCATTTTTTACAGCTGTGGTTACCACATGACCTCATTTCCATGGCATGCACTATGCGGAGAAGCTTCGTCTTCCTCAGATAAATGGAAATAGAACAGAGGGGGGGAAAAAATAGGACAGGAAGAGGGAGAGACGTTCCCCTTTGCTGCAGTCTGGGGCTTATAGACTTCATGTCGGGTTCAGGCTGGATGTAAGCGCGAGGTGTTCCCTCATCCCTTCTGCACTTATCGTGCACGCAGAGCCTTTCGCCACACTTTTCCGCTTTTGCTACAAAGCTGTCTGCTCTGCGCTTTGGCTGTGCAGCCAGACGCAGCCTGGCTTGTTCCTTCCACTGTCAACATCCTGCTTGTCAGCCGGCGCAGCGGCTCATGCGGGGTTTCTGAGAGGCAGCGCGATGATGTTATTGGCTGGGCTTGGAGGGGAGAGCTTGCCTTCGCCACGGAAGCTGAGAAGCTGCGGGTCCTGTGGCCTTTATTGGCTGCCTCTGCATTTGGGAGAAGGAAAAAAAAAAAAAAATGTTTCCTCAGGAGCTGGCTCAGAAGATCAAAGGATACCAGGAGCAAATTGCTTCTTTGAATTCGAAGTGCAAGATGCTGACAATGAAAGCAAAGCATGCCACCATGCTGCTGACAGTGACAGAAGTGGAGGGGCTTTCGGAGGGAATGGAGGAGCTGGATTCAGACCTGCTGCCAGCACATCCCGCTCATCCCTCGGTGGTTATGGTAAGGAATGCGTTAGTCTCGGTACCCTTTATCTGAGCTGGTTGCTTCTGCATCATTGCAACACTCCTGTGTAGCAAATTGCTGCAGCTCGCATCTACGTTTTGCTTTTGAAATGGCTGGAGTGTGGCAAGCCAGACAAGCTGCAGCTTCCTCTTACTGTATTTTGCTTTATATGGGTTTTCAAGACTTGTTGATAAAGGGTGAAGTTATTTAACAGACAAATACTGGTAGAAGATGTCTGTAATAAGATGCAAATATATTGCTTTTTAGTACCTGTCAGCGTGCAAGAGTAAATGCTAAAAAAACTACTGAATTGCAGGATAAAACCAGAATGAATAAATATTATTTCATAACATGTTGCGATGTACAGGTTGTACACACCATATTTTTTAAGCTCTTCTCTTAAAATGTTGATGTGATAATTGACAGTATGCTGCTATATTCTCAGATGAGTGTGTTGGAAGTGAAAGCTGACTAATTACTGCCATAGGCCTCATGTTTGAATTACTCTGCTTTTGACAGTTTCTAATCAGGTCTCATTACAATCATACTGCTGATGTTATCGGGATTTTTGTCTGAGTGAATATAGAGTGCAGATTTCAGGATTTATCACTGTATAACAGCATTGGGGAAGTAAGAAAAATATGTTGCTACTGGATTATGTGTATTTTAGATTTTTAAGTCTGTTCCTTGTTGTTCTAACCAGGCCTGGATACTGAGGCCAATACTGCATTATTCTGTAGCTCTCCGTAGGATTTCTATATGCAGCAGTGATTGTACTAGAAGACATTTAGGCAAAACCTGATTTGTTATTATTGAGTTGCTTGCTATACGTTTTCTTTTAAATTCATTAGGGAATAGGAGAGCATGTTCATACTGAAGTATGACAAGTAAATGAGACTATTGAACTGTTGAACCAGATTTTTAAGCTGGTAAATGTAGTAGTATTAAGTATAACTAAATAATGTCATGGTAATTCTCGCCATGTGTTGTTTTTCTTGTTGTGATCTCAATCTAAGTCAAACCAAAGTCGAGGTAACTAATTTTCTTCCTGTGCTCCGGGGTTGCTTTTCCTGTGGCAGATGACTGCTGGTCGCTGTCACACGCTGCTCTCCCCTGTCACTGAGGAGTCTGGGGAGGAGGGAACCAACAGTGAGATTTCTTCTCCACCTGCCTGTCGCTCTCCCTCGCCTGTGGCTAATACAGATGCTTCTGTTAACCAGGTATCTCCCTCTTGGCATTCATTCAGCTTTTATCTCAGACATGCATGGTTCCATTCCACAGGTGGTTTATTTAATCCTCTGAGATAATATTTACCTATAGCTCCAAGGATCTGAGGCTTAAACTTTGACCTAACTGAACCTCCAAGTTCTAGTCCAAATTGAATACAAATATTGACTTCTGAGTTTAAAATGTATAAATTTGGTGTTACAGCTATTTACTATTTCTAAAAATAAAATTTAAGTGACAATTACAAAGCTCTTCTATGTCACTACTATTTTCTGTTTATAACCTAATTTTATTTTCACAGTAGTACTCAATGGAATCTTGCATCCTGAGAAAAAATGCAATAATATGCATAATAAAACATTGCATCACATCCATGTACATCTATCTTACAGTATCATTGGCATTGTAGCATTGAAGCCACAGTCTGGTAACTTCTACTTCAAACCATTTAAAGTATTAACGTTCATGTATTTTTTTCATGTGTTGTTCATTCCATACTTTCGGTGACAGTCTATTTTAAGTGCTAATGAGGCAGATCAGTAAAATCGCTAAATTTAGATTTTAAATCAAAACTGAGGACTCTGGCACTTCTAATAGGAACATTTGTACATCAACATTAATTAAAATGTGAGCAATGAACTAGCTTAATGAGCATCACGCACATGAAGATGCACAAAAAATGTTACACTTTAGAAGTTTAGAAATGAGCCCTACCTTGACTGCTCAAGGGAGCAGTCACCATCTCACTGCATTCACCATGTTGTGGGTTTTGTGGGTGGTTGGTTGTTTTTTAATTTGTGTCTGCTTCCAAAATTGACCACTGCAAAGGTAAAGGGCAGAATGGTGTTGCATTCCATTGCTCAGTAGAGATACAGAAGTTTGAGCAAGTTGTCTCCTGATTCCTTCCACTCATTTCAAAGATGAAGTTGCCAGATATAAATGATTCATTTACATGAACTGACATAAGAAAGAATACTAAGGTAAGACAGTAAGAATGGTGACAAAATCTTCATGATAATAAAGTTATAAAGTTACCTTCATAATTAAAAAGTTATGTAATGAATGAAAAGGATTGTTCTAGTGTTCTGTCATTTCAGATAACCAGAAATTTCCCAGTAAAGTTTACTTACAGTAGAAAGGTAGCTATAAATTTCAGCACAAAAATCCTATGACAGTGTTAATTAGTGAAAGAGTCAAAGGAGCAAAAGCAGCTTCTTTCTAATAATAACAAGTAATAAACAAATTCAGTGTCAGTTCATTATGTTTCTCTGAAAATGAAAAAAAAAAAAAAACACAGATGAAGAGCTCTGATAGCTCAAATAATAAGGAAAATGCAGTGAAATGCTGTTGCCCCATGAGCTGACACCAAAATGAAAGTTTTAGAACCTGTGATTTACAGGGCAAAATTAAACAAAATGTTTGTCTTTCATTTAGCAGAAGGTCTTTGAAAGAGATAAAATCGCTGGCGTTATAATAATCTAAAAAACTGACAGATTAAAGTTTCTTCAGTGTGGTTAATGTTGAAATGAACTGCACGTACTAAACAATAAGCGGAAGGGCATTCCAAAATGCAGTGGTTTACTTACAAAATTCTTGGGTTCACACTCACATGAAATTAAAACTAAAGAAGCTATGAAACTGCCACTGTTGATCATGATGAATGTCCAGGGAGACTTCAGGAAACAAGGTTGGTTAAAAAGAAATCTAGACAATAGTGAATAAGGAACATAAATGTAAGTTAAAAATATTTTGTATTCAGTAAAAGATTCAACAAAACTATTTTGGAAATGCTTTGTTTTAAAAAGTAGCCAGTGTTAAGAGAAATAATTTCTCACAGGGAGATCGCCTGCAAAGTACCAGACGAACATGTGAACAGAAATTCTAGAAAGCAAAGAATTGTATTAGTGTAGTCTTTGGAAAAAAATTAAAAGCTCAGATGAAGTGGGGTGTTTTGGGGAGGGAAGGCTGGGTGTTAAGACTGTTTTTAAATTCATCCCTAATAATCTACATACAATCTTTCATAAGGGTTTCCTAGCATCTTTTAATGGTGTAATGTGGTAAGTCTGAACTGAGATATCTTTGCACAATTTTTACACTGCTAACAAGTAATGAAAATATAAAACAAATGCTAAATACATATTTGTGGAAACATTGGTTCTATGTATTGAAATAGATTAAACCGAGACCATAAATACAAGAAAGCGACAGATCTAGCACTGTTACAAGTTGACAGTTGCCCAGGTGGTTTGTTTTGTACTGAAACTCCTCTAAAAACATCATCTGGGGAGGAGGAAGGAATGGAGAACAACTATAAAAATGTTAACTTTTAAAAGGCTGAGGGATTTCACAGGGTATAATATTTTAGCAATAGATAACAGTCCTTTAATGCAGTTTATTTTGATGTAGCAAAAGCAGGCACATCCTCTGAATGTGAATCCTCTGGGGCTAGAACTTCTCACGCTTACCCAAAGATATAGTTGATTAAAATTTAGCACATTCTTTTAAAACTTCTTTTCCAGATGCATAATGCAGAGCAATTGAATTGAAAAAGCTCAAGTATTGACACAAAACCTTGGAGTTCACAGCTGATCTTGTGATTCAAGTCTTCAGCCCTGGGTCACTGTTAAATGTCTTTCTATCTCCTTGTTCAGAGCCTACTTAATCATATTTTTCTCCTTCCTTATGAAAGCTCATTGAGGGTACAACAGCCCTTGTTAAATATCTTTTGAAATCTAAACACACCCTTTGCACCTACATCTTAACAACAAATCTTGAGTACTTTTCATTGGCTAATTTTCTTAAAAGAGGATAAGAGATGTTAGGGTCTTTTGTGGGGGAACAAAATACGTTATGTGTAAGAACATCTGTATCAACATTAAAGCCCTACCAAAAAGAAACTGCCATGTTGTTTACTCCAAAAAGTAGTTGGAAAGATGAGGAAAGCAGTTGCTTTCCCTTCTTTTAAAAGCAAGGCCTTTATTCTGGAAATGATGATTAAGAAGTCTCAGAAGCACAGCTTTTTTCTTGGCCTTGAGAGAGGACTAGCTGAGGGCTGGAGGGTAGCTGCAGACAAGGCAAAATGAGAAGCTGACTGCACTGGTGCAATTTTTCACTGTAACTTGGAAAGATCACTTGTGGTCAGAGTAAAAAAATCTGAAATTGCAGTACTGAATGCTGTGCTAAGCTGTTGGCTCCTGGACATCTTAAACACTTTAATAATTATATTTTTCAAATATCTCAATTATTGCCTTTGAAGAAGTACCTCATCTGACACTTTTGGACAGTTTGATGTGCTGCCACTAACCACAACCCTCTGAGCTCTATCTGTAAGCCAGTTCTCAATCCACCTCACCGTCCATTCATCTAAGCCACACATTCTTGTCCATTCTTGGGTGTTCTGTTTCTCTGGAGAGACTGACTTTTTCAGGTATCCTCAGTAAAGATGTGTGATCAAGCTGTCTGTAAAATGCACTCTTGGCTGCTGCCTCCCTTTAAAAATATCAGTCATGACCTGTGAGTAGCACCTTAATTGTTAAAAATGTCCATACACGATGCGTATAACCTGATAAGTCTCTTCTTTCTTGGGGGAAGGACTGAAGAACCATATCTGTGCAGCTGCTGGGAGATGGGGTGTTTTCTGGGACAGGTGGGCATTCTGTGCTCCTGAGGTTTAGTTAGAAAGAGAGCCCAAACTGTGACTG